AAGAGCAGCACTTCACAGTTTCCCAAAATTAAAGAAAAAGTGGGATTGAGGCCCGACATCACAGCGTTAGTATGGCAGGAAGGAATCTTTGAAGAAGTCGTTTAACGGCATAGAATAGGAAACCTCAGTCACATGATCACATGAACATATTGCGTGCAAGTACCTACCTCTGGGTTCACTAGAATCACTTCAATGGTAGATGCCTTGAACACAGGACGCAGATTTTTTCCTAACATCAAATGTAGAGCATTATTTACAATGTACAGTTTATGATTTCTTAGGAGGTCTATGTGTGCATACTGTGCCCTGCATTTTGTGCAGAGAGCTGATCGTTAATGTGTATCGCCTGTCCATGATATCTCTATCCTCTCTGACTTAGGTGAGAGAATAGGTGACCTAGATTGAAGGAGAGTAATTTGCACCGTCCCTGCAAGTGAGAGATCGAGCCCGCTCTGTCAGGCAACGTGACGATGTTGCTGATAGATTGGGGATGGAGAGAGAGGTTTTGGTTTTATAGTGTCTAGTTGTTTATCAGGTGAAATAAGCTATTAGAAACAGAATAGAGGCTTAGCAGTTATCATGAATGTTCTAGCATCTGTGGTGTAAAGTAGCATACATTTACTGAAGTACTGTAGTACAATTTAGAGGTAATTTCCATTTTATGCTACTTTGTACTACTTTTCAGAGGGAAATGTATTATACAATTAATTATTAGAAATTAAACCAGTGGTTTAAATAACCTTTTTGGCATACAAAAATCAATGTCCAGTTCGGGCCCCTTGTTACATTTTATGTCTAGCAGTTGTTAGATGTTCTTCTTATATGGTTTCTTTTAAATAACAGTTTGAGGCCCAAACTGCTCAGATCTAATACTTTATTACAAAAATCACATGATTATGGAAAGTTAAAAAAAAAAGAAATACAAATTTGTACAAGAACTTTCCAAAAAAGGATAAATGTATTTATCTTGTGATCCTTTTGAAGGGGGCAACCCCTAGGCTGGGAACTACTAGACTATAAAGAACTAGCTCCACCTCAACAGTAAAATGCTGCTATTGCATCAGTAACAATCATAATGTGATACATAAAAATATATCCGTCATAGGGCCATTTTTCTGCAGGAGTACTTTTACTTTGGATAATTGAGTACTTTTTGCCTATATTACTTACATACTAACATATGACATTAAATGCAGGACTTTCAGTAGTAGTGGAGTTTATTTATTGCTGTACTGATACTTTTACTTAAGTAAAGCATCTGAGGAGCTCTTCCACCGCTGCCATCCCTAGAAAATTTCTTAAGCTAAATGAACACCAGAGACGAACCAGTGTGGTTGGAATGATAAGCAAGGATCTAAGGATAGGTTAACATGACATAGAAACTGACTTGTCTTTATCTATTGCTTCTCTCTCCTCCAAAGTAAGTTGTGGTTGAAAGAGTCGACTCAGTTAACCTAAAAAAAAACATCTGGTTTTTAGCTAACTAGCCAGCAGGCTAATTTAACAAAGCATTAAACAGAGATGCAGGGAGGAAGTCTGGGCCTCGCCTGTCAGAATTTGGCTCTGGGCCTTGTCGTTTTTTTTCTTTTTTTAAAATAAAATAATTAGGGCTGCTGCTTTTAAGTTGATGAATTGTCTGATGATCTGTCTCAGAACCCCCATTTGAATCATCAGTTTCAATCATCACATATTCATATTTTCAATCTCCCTGCAAAAGTACATGATAAAAGCTTTTACTGACAGCACAGGAAGAACAGTAACAACTCCATGCACTGGCTTATCCTTTGTTATCCAAACTACTTCATCATATGTTACCAGGCTACATAGTTTTGTTGTCACTCAAAAGTAAGCTAATGCCTCATTAAAGCCTCAATTTTGAATGCACTTTGGACGTTAAGGATGTTTTAGAACATCCATGCTAGTTTGTCAGCCCCCCAACTTTTTAGACAACTAAGGCCCTATAACAAAGCTGAACCAGTATTAGTAGAAGCATTAGTCCATGTGTTCAAACATGGGGCATTGATAACTTTTGCCCGATAAGCTATTATCACAGATCCGATCAGTAACAATGAGGTAAATATGTAAAAAAAAATAGCACAAATATTTATTTTAAATGAAACAGCCAATCACATCTAAAGTTAGTGCATTTGCTTTAATACATAGTGGATGCTGAATTTTCTGTTGCTGTGACAACACTTCAGGGCAAGTGAGCAGAAACAGCATCTGAATGCCCTTTTTCAAAGGTATTTGTTTCATCATTACTACAGTCTGTCTGCAAACCTGTTGACCTGAGTAGTCTGCAAAATTACAGCCATATTCAGAGCTGGTGAAAAACAGAATTACGGTTTGTTATGTCTTCCTTGCCGAGTCAGTGGAAAGGGTTAAAAGAAAAACAATATACTGGTGTTTTTGTTGAGTCTCAGAGTGCACTTTGAACTACAAGCTGACCTGCAGCTGCACCCTTCTCTGCCACAGGCCTGAATACAAACTTTGTCTGAGGTATATGTTTCCACTGGAACACATACCTTCACTGAAACTCACAGAGAGCAGGGTTTAGCATGAAAATCTTTAACATTAGATGTGGGTTATTGCCTCTGTACTTGTTTTAGCTATGACAGTGAAAGGCTACGTTCAGACTGCAGGCCTTAATGCTCAATTCCGATTTTTTTTTCCCAGATTTTTTTGTTTGACAGTTCACATTGTTGTTTAAATGTGGCCCAAATCAGACTCCAATGTGTACTTTGTCAGTCTGAACGTAGCCTACGCCCAACACTTTGGCTACATTCAGACTGCAGGCCAAAGTGACCCAAATCCGCTCCTTGCTCATCTTACCTTGTGGTCCTTCTTTATAGTCACTCAGATAACATCAAAGACAAAGATGGCGGTGTGATTACTTTGTTTTTTAGACTCACAGGTGGGTGCTGGAATGCTGAAGCAGTAAGGTGGCCTTGCATGATAAGTCAGGGAGAGAGGGGAGCCAGACTCTGGGGACTGTTATTAACTCTCACCTACTGCAAAGAACAGCAAGCCATTACAGAAGAATTATTTCTCAATTTACTTTGCGGGCAAGCTTTGAAAGAGAGCCTGTTTCTGGGAGTGGTTCCAACATGAATCCCCTAAAAATGTAGATGCGCCACTCCCTCTGAGAACTTAGAATACAAGTCACTGCTCCAGATTATTTACACAAGCAAACGATTAGCTCATTGCAACCTACAACTTGATTTGTGACTGCTTTAGGTCTGTTTGTGCATGTTCTGTCAACTGGGTCAATAAGAATCTGTGGAAGAAAAATGAGGCGTGTGGTGGAGTGGATTTAAGTGTTAGGACATAAAGTCTGTCTCGTGGCAGAAAATGGGGACTGCATGCTAATCAGCCTCTATCTTTCTCAGAAATGCCCTCACTCTTTATTCTCTCTGTATGACTGCCCACTGGACCCTGCTGCAGAATTAGTAGAGGTTGTAGTCGTAGAAGGAAAGTACTGTAATCATAGTAGTAGTAGCAATAGTGGTCATAGAGGTACTAATTGTACTTTCTACTTTTGTGTTATTATTATTGTTGTTGTTATGCAGTGCTTCAATAGTAATTGTAGCAGTGTAGGAGTCCTTTTAGTAAAAGTTGTTCACATAGTTGGTGTTCTAGAATTACTAGTATTATGTAAGAATATAATATGTTACTTAATAGTATTATACTAGTGGTAGTAGGTTATCCCACAATAATTTACCTCCCTCCTCCAAAATGTGTCAGTATATTACATTATATCACATGAGCACGAAAACCTTACCCTGTGCAGCTTTAATTAGACAAGACTTTCACACTGCACAGCACAGTAAAGGCTAATGTAGCGTGTGTAGGTGTGATGTATTCTAAGGTCTCTGTTCTTGTACAGATGATCAGTGCACTATGAACAGAATCTGCTAAGTTCTGAGGTTTACTTGGTTAATGTTCACTGCCTTCTTGACTCATTTCAGTATTCATACTGAACGTCTTGAATTCATGCTAAAAAGGTAATGGCCCCGAATGCTGACGCTTGTATTTTAATTCAATTCAATTCAGTTTTATTTACATAGCACAAATTCATAACAAAAGTTGCACTTTTCACATATTTACTCTTGTCTTTCTCAAGATTTTTTTATTATCTATCTATACCTATAGGTATCCTTTTTGGAGAAAATCAAGCAGTTCCTTGAGGCCTCTTAATGACTGGCAAACAGTCTGGGTGCAAATCGTGCAAATGCATATGTTGTTGTAGGTAATCTGACTGACACGCGTTGCGGTTTTTCATTTTCGGCAGGTGCCAAAACTCAAGAATGGCAAACCACACACACACTTCCTCTCCGAACAGGGTGTGTGCCTGTGTGGGTTCTGAAACTACATTGAGTAATCTGTGTCTATGTCAGTTACAATTACTGACAGGCTCTTTTTCCCCCAAGTCAAAATAACCATTTAAATTATTGTGTTTTGTCAGTTCTTGATTTAAATCTGTCATTGAGGCAATGCAACTATGGCTTATTTGATTGTATTTTAATAGCACAAACATCAATGAAATATTTCACACAAAGGGAGCTATTTCACATGAGCCGTCTATTTTCTCAAGGACTTACTGTTCTGACACATATTTGTCATGAATAGAGATGGTTGCAATGTTGGCTCATGGCAACCAGAGAGTATCTCTAGCAGCAAAAAAATGTCCCAGTTTTTATTCTTTCCTGTGTACATTTCTTCTTAGACATATATTGTATTTAAGCCATCATATCTAAGAGGGAAGGCATTTTCAACCGAGATTTGAGTTTCTAAGTGATGCTGACAGCATTTGATTGCATCTCATGCCTTGATGCTTCACAGCTGTAATCAGAGTAACGAATGCAATCTGCTACATAATATGCATACTGTTTTTGTGCTGTGTGTGTGGTGTTTAAAGGGAGAAGGATGGGGATCATGTTCAGGTTTAGGGTTTTTTGGGTTGATTGTAGGTTGAAATGGACATCTTGTTTTCTCCACAGGGTTTGCAGGTGAAGGCAGATTATGTCCCTCTGCTACAGTCACTGGCCACATATGGATGGAGGCTCACCTGTGTGCTGCCAACTCCTGTAATCAAGACTAACGGGTAAGGACCCTCATCTGACTACTGAAGGTACATGTTTTTATGACCTCTGTTGACCTCTGTTGGCAGCCAGCAGTAATTGCAACAACAGCAACTCCAAGCCTTGGTGTTACTTTTTACCAATTAAGTCCTAAAAGTAGTAAGTAATAATGTATAATAAATATAAGTCCTATGAAAAGTAATAGTACTAATATTGCAGAATGGATCTTTTTAGAATGTAAGATTCTTATATATTTTGTATTAATGGAAAAGTATCATCAGATGATCATAAGCTGCATTAAGATGTAAGCAGCATTTTAATGTTGCAGCTGGTCAAGGTGGAACTGATTGTAAGTTTTGCATGACAACTTTGCATCTTACTGTAAGTATGATACTTCAGTAAATGTACTTTATTTTGATCCAGCACTGCTCCTGAATCATTTGAAATCCCACTGGATTATCCCAAGAATGCATAATCACCAAGCTTGAAACAATATTCTTTTTCTTAGTTTGTGAAAACAAAAAGTTGACATTTGGGAGATACACGATTTTCACAAGATAAATATGAAGTAGCTTTTTTTCACTAACCTGAAATAACTGCTCTGTGTTACTGCAGAATACACATACATAATGTAGATTTATTTTTTTTGTTCTGCTAAAAGTTTTGTGAATACAAATGAAAATGGAAAATGTCACTAAGGCCATCTTCTAGTTTTATTCTGGGGAAGAAACTCTTGAGTGCACTCAAGTCCTATAAAGTGTTTCTTGTTCTCTTCTTATTGTACAACTTAAGATCCAAAAATATTCTAAACATGCATCAGGCACTACCGACTGTATATGCTACACCATCAAGTTATTGTTCAAAGAAATATGACAGCTTTTATAAAATATTGACCTAAATCTGTTCCAATTTAGGCTGAGCTTTGATCCATGCAGCAGCTCTGACTGTTGGTGGAAAATCTCTTCACAGAAATGTAACGGCTCCTCAGCTAAGCCTGTGCTGACTCATCACTCATGGTTGCTATATGAGTGTACATCCGCTTATGGTCAAAGGTATTGCATGTTCAGCCAGAAGAGCTTCACTTAAAAACAGAAGTTGTTCTTCAGCATGCTGATAATGTAGTATACCAGTCAAATGTTTCACTCCAGTATGGTTGAGTAAGGCTGTCTTTAAACCAGTCTTAGAAACCGCTCATACTGTGGGTGACCCTCACTGTCTAACTGAGCAGTTTTTAAATGCAGTCAGACATGTTACACACTAATAATGATATGATAATTTTTGGGCCACCATGTGTCGCCAGAAAAGCTTTAATGCGTATTTTCTTTTACAAGTCTCTGAAACTTTACTGCACGATGGAACACCATTCATCCAAAGGATATTCCCTCATATGGTGTTTTGATGATGGTGGAGAGCACGTCAGTCCAAAATTACCCATAGGTGTTCAGTTGGGTTGAGAGCTTGTGACTGTGAAGGCCATAGCATATGACTCACATCATTTTCATACTCGTCAAACCATTCAGTGACACCTCAGATGGGGACATTGTCATCTTGGAAGGGACCATATTACGGTTTTCCTCCTTTATCTCTGTAGACCAGTGCCTATGGTTTTTGCTGAACTCTGAAATGTGCATTCACCTTCATCACGAGTGGTTTATGCACTGTAACACTACTAATAATATCCCTCTCTATGTAATTGTCGACGGACTGTTCTTGCTGACAAAGACCGATCACATCCTGCACTGACATTCTCAGTCACCCGAAGAAGAGTTGCTGTTCTATTTACTGATGTCTTTCACATTGATCTAAATGTCACTTTAGTCACTCTTCCTATTAAAAGACTAGGCAATTGAGCAGGACACTGAAGCTCCTGCAATCCATGCCCCAAGTCACTTAGATCTTTTCCTCTTGCCATCTTGATAAAAAATCAGAATCAACTGCATCTGCTCAGCATTTTTATACATCCCACAGAACATGATTGGATATCAATTGCTTAATTGTACCATTGTACCATGCAGTCCACCTGTGTGGAAGCATTTGCATTTGTTATGTTTCTCCCCTCATTTATTCAGGGTTTTTTTTATTTGTTAACCATTTGTATATTACCCATAAAATATATACAACATAAATATAGTATATTTTATATACATACGGGTGACAAATAAAAAAAGAAAGTGTACATATACAGGTGCTGGTCATATAATTAGAATATCATCAAAAAGTTGATTTATTTCAGTAATTCCATTCAAAAAGTGAAACTTGTATAATGTGTACATTCATTCCACACAGAATGATATATTTCAAGTGTTCATTCCTTTTAATTTTGATGATTATAACTGACAACTAATGAAAACCCCAAAATCAGTATCTCAGAAAATTAGAATATTGTGAAAAGGTTCAATATTGAAGACACCTGGTGCCACACTCTAATCAGCTAATTAACTCAAAACAACTGCAAAGGCCTTTAAATGGTCTCTCAGTCTAGTTCTGTAGGCTACACCATCATGGGGAAGACTGCTGACTTGACAGCTGTCCAAAAGACGACCATTGACACCTTGCACAAGGAGGGCAAGACACAAAAGGTCATTGCTAAAGAGGCTGGCCGTTCACAGAGCTCTGTGTCCAAGCACATTAATAGAGAGGCGAAGGGAAGGAAAAGGTAGAAAAAAGTGTACAAGAAATAGGGATAACCGCACCCTGGAGAGGATTGTGAAACAAAACCCGCAAAACTCACCTGACCTTAACCCTACAGAAAATCTATGGGGTATTGTGAAGAGGAAGATGCGATACGCCAGACCCAACAATGCAGAAGAGCTGAAGGCCACTATCAGAGCAACCTGGGATCTCATAACACCTGAGCAGTGCCACAGAGTGATCGACTCCATGCTGCAGTAATTTAGGCAAAAGGAGCCCCAACTAAGTATTGAGTGCTGTATATGCTCATACTTTTCATGTTCATACTTTTCAGTTGGCCAACATTTCTAAAAATCCATTTTTTGAATTGGTCTTTTCAGAGATACTGAATTTGGGATTTTCATTAGTTGTCAGTTTTAATTATCACAATTAAATGAAATAAACATTTGAAATATATCAGACTGTGTGTAATGAATGAATATAATATCCAAGTTTCACTTTTTGAATGGAATTACTGAAATAAATCAACTTTTTGATGTTATTCTAATTATATGACCAGCACCTGTATATTAAGGGTTGATATATATATACATACACACACACACACTTCCATTTAAGACTGAATATAGCAATTGGACTTTACTTAGTTTTTACTTGAAGCAATTGTGTAACTGAATTGGAAACTATGAACTCATTGAATTGGACAACAAATTCAAGGATTGTCAATACAAATAAGCTAAATAGGAAATAGCATAAATAAGAGTTAAACCATAGGTTTTGTTAAGAAGTGAAGCATAAGAAGGAATTTTATACTATATATATATATATATATATATATATATATATATATATATATATAAAAATTCCCTCATGACTTACAATGAAATCACCTTAGCAAGGGATCTCTTCAGACAGGAAGAATGATTACAGCGACCAATGACAATTTAAATGTACATACAGGCATCTAAGTAAGATTGACTTTAAAAAATGTGAAACTGTTCTTTAATATAATGTAGGTCTACTGTCATACTAATAAAGTATGCATCAGAGTATTTCCATCAGTATACTGACCAATTGTTTGCTCTGCCCCCACCTCAGCTGGTCATGTTTGCTGCTATTTCACTGCATAGCTGATTAATTACACCTCTATTTTCATCCTTAGCTTTTTTCTACCTTCTCTCCCTCTCTCCTCTTTCAAAATGCCACAGCACAACAGCATAACATGGCTAATTAATCAGAGTCGGCCTAGATACAGTACAAGATGGAGCTCATTTCTCTCCCTGCCTTGAAAACATTTTGCACACCAAAATAATAGTTGATGATCTATTCCAGATTAGCAATACTCATTACACTTGTTTTTGTGGTGTTGGCTCCTCCATTTTTAAATAGCAAATTTGCAAATGTACGCTTTTTGTTGTCTGAGGGTTTGCAAACTGCACTTCATCTGGAGGGGTCGGATAAGTGTCAGTGATCTCAGCAGCGTCTGAAATTAATGCTAACTGGTGCTCAGCAGCTTCTCCACACAACATTAATTCATGTAGTTGTCTCAGAGCATGCATTCATGTTCGCCGCATTCAATTAATGTAGATGGTAATTACGTATTAGAGCCATTAACTACAGTAAATGTGAATTTCTCTACAATTAACATACAACAAGGAAGTTTTAGACAAATTAGTGAATTGTTGCAGGCATCTAAATTTGTTGGAGACTAAATAGTGATCAACATGATCATTTAAGGAGTCTTTTTTTGGATAAAGGTTTGCATTTTGGCGTGCAAAATTTGATGTGTCTGTTTTTTATATTTCAAGTGGTAGCTTGCAGCAGAGGTGTGCAGTAGACTTTTCCCTAAATGAAACTGCCGTCAGGTACATTCACCCATCAAGTGACAAATTTCTGTCCTATATGGCTTCTTATAATAGTGCAGCTGACACTGACATCGTAGAGTAGGTTCAGTAAAGGCCTGTAATTTTCTAAGCCATCCACTCCTTTCTGGCTTAATGGGCTGGGGCTTTTGCTGGGAACTCTGGTTAGTTTTCAGCTTTGATTCACCAGGAAGCCATCCAGCATCCTTGACAGCCTAGAAAATAACATATGGATAAATGGTGGAAGGAAGAATTTAATGGAAAAAGAAGTTGTGGTGGGCTTTGAATGGTTTAGATAGTAAGCCTTCTGCTGGATGAGTCTCAAGTCCATTTGATGTTGAGAAAGGGAAGATTTGTGGTAGGCTTTTAGGGTTCTGCAGCAATCATAAACCTGCCATCTTTCCTTATGTGTAAGGTTGAGCAGGCAGCTTAACTTCAGCATCTAACCTTTGTGTGCATGTATTATTGAACTTGTGTCAGGTAGCAGCACTAGGCAACATATCGTCTTTTAAGCCATGTCCAATAATAGCAAAAGATAAATAGAAGGAATAAAACAGAAATAAGCAATAAAACTCACAAATGTGTCTGTCAGAGGGGATAAAAGCAGAGAGGTAAAACTGAGCTAGTTAGTGAGAGCACACTGGACTATGAAACGGGCTGTGCATGACAAAGATGAGCAGAAGGAGTGTGTGCGAGCGTGAGAGACAGGAAGCCCACTCAGAAATGAATCTGCATTTCCTGCCACGATTAATCTGTCAGTGCCAGTACTTGTGCAGATTATCCTTAGCAGAACACAGAAGTGTGACATGTGCAGGGGATGGAGGATTTGGGGAAATTGAGCAAAAAAGAAGAAATACATGTTCCGAGAAGCTGAAGATGTTCACAAGTTACACACAGACATTTAGACAAACTTCAATATCTGCCTCCTTGCATGTCAAATATCAGTTTCCTTGCAAGACTCAAGGGGGACAGGGGGGAAATGAAACTGACAGATGACAGTAGTAAAGGGTTTGGGCCTTAAATTGTCAGATAAGACTGTGAAGCATGAGCAGAGGCCAGCAATAATTCGACTATCTTGATGGAAGGTCAGAAAGAGTGTGGATCAATCTGTGTTATCCTAGGATTTAACTCAAATGAATGATACATATTTATCTTGGAGTTATGCAGCACTTTTTCAAGAAAAAGGCAAAAGTAAACAATAAATTAGATAGATAAAATCTGTCAGCGTTTGTAACATTGTTTCTAAATGTTTAAACATTCACGAGCAAGCATTCATTCTTACTGTATTTTTAATCATTTCTAAATAAATTTGTACTAAAAAAGGAAAAGTCTTTGACTGAAGAAATAAAATGATCTCAGAGTTGAACTGCCAACATTTTCAGCTGATTTCCTCTGCTCTTTCCCTTTCTCTCTCTGTCCTTATCTTTCAGTGATGGAAGCCTGTCCACCAAACAGATTGTATTCCTGCAGAGACCCATCTTGGACCGAAAGAGGAGGGAATCCAAGGTACATGACCTCACATTCCTTTCTATATTTCTTGGCTAATGTGGGGTCTCCCACCAGTCATTCTGTCACATGCTCACCATATATCACCTTTTTGCCACCTCCGATTCCACAGCTGTTTTTGTTTTTAATAGCCTAACGCACACAGAACAGACTCCTCTCTGTTTGAGATATCAGGAATTCTTCAAAAATGCATTGTTTGGGGAAGCAGGGCTGGTAATTTTTTCTTGCAGACCCCGAATAGTGGTGATAACCTCTAAAGCTAACCTTTGTCCGCAGCAGAATGAATCCATTTTGATGCTTTCTGTGACCTGAATTTAAACCGCCATCACAATAACAAATTTAATAGACCCTAAGACACAGGGAATTGCTAGCATTAACAAGATTTTCTTGCCAGTTTCTTTGCAGTTGATCTCATTTCTCTATATCTCATCAGCGTGTAGAACCCAGCACAAGTTGTTCAAGTAATTGAGGACATATTGCATAAATGTTTTGCCTATTTGTTTGGTCAGACTGCAGGCCTTGAGGCATCAATAACTCCCCTCAAAATTGCTTCAATTTCCTTCATCAGTGAGACTAATTTAAATTACCTCGTTATCCTAGTGCAATATTAGATCCGTTATCCGCTCTTTATTACATCTGTGTGTACTGTTTTGCGCCCAAAAGCATATTTAAGAGTTACAATGCATTCTACTAACATGCTAATGTAAACTTCAAATGTTTCAGAAATTGATCTTCAAGCCCCGCAGTAAGTCCAACAAGAACTGCATCAAAGATGCCTCAAAGAACAAGAAGAAGAAAAAAACAAAAAATGAGAAGGATGTAGAGGATCCTAAGATTCTTGACGACAAAGACATGGCTGAGAAAGAGGAAGACAAGAATATGGATGAAAGGGTGAACGCAACAGATGTAGAGACAAGAGAAAGTGAGACATCGAAAGAAAGGGAGGTGAGGTGTGATGAAGATAGAAAGATTGATGATGGGATTGAAATCAGCATAGAGGCGGTAGAAAAAAAAGATGAAGGAGCAGAGGCTAAAGACAAAGGAGTAGAAAACGGCACTGAAGAAGAGGGAGAAGAAAAGATAGCACTGGACGGAGAGGGATCACAAGACAACGGAGAGCCTTTAGAAAACGGCGAGGACCAGGAAGTGACGGAAATCATCGCAACTGTCGAAACACAGACCAAGACCAAAGAGAAGGAGGACGAAGGCGTAGCAGAAGTTGAAGCAGTGATTGAAAATGGGGTCGAGACGGATGGGGAGAAAGATGAGGGTGAAGAGAACGCAATCAAAGGCAAGACAGAAGAACCAGCAGGCTTGGAGGTCAAGGAGATTGTGGCAAATTTAGTGGCCACACCAACTAATCAAAGCCCAGAGGACACTCAAGAGTAGTAGTCCCAAGTTGTCCAAGTCAAGGTTTTTCCCTGCCCTACCTCTCAAATTCCCCATCTTAAAAACTGGTTCACAGTGTTGTCCCTGGTCAAAATTAAAGGGGGCTTCGATCCCTAGCGCTGCAGCATTCTCCAAACCTACCATCCTTCATAGACAATTCCCCCTCCGCAATATAGATACAGAACAATTTCGTTTAACTGCAGACATCATCCCTACTGTATAACCACACATACTGAATGTATATATCCAAAACAGGAGATGTTGGTGCAGGATAGTCAATGTGGAGACACTGGAACGACTTGATGAGGATCAACAGGGAGTTGAATAGAATGATGCCTTGATCAGATTGGGCGTGTATTTCCTCTACTTTAAGGTGGGATATGCGATTCTGGAGAGATCCACTATCATGACAAATATCATGATATAGAGTGAGCAACGAAAAAGTAATGTAACATTAGCTAGGTGGGTTAGCAAACTGTCACTACAGTTGCTTCTGCCATGCTAACATGCAGAGAGGACGAGACAGTTTCCCAGAGCCAGCACATCAGCTCCAGACAGCGATACCCACAACTACAACAACCTATCTTGGCAAACTAATAAGTATGCTGGATGTCCGTGGGCAAGTAATTTAACGTTAATGGAATAGCGTTATGTGGCTTGGTCCTGGCCACTTTGTTTGTATTCCATTTACAGAGCCGTGTACAAACAGAACAGCCAGCTAGCGGACCGTGAGGTGACATTCGCTGAATTTGACACAAAAAGAAAATGTGTATTGGATTAAAATCGCATACCCCACCTTTAAGGAGAACGAGAAACAGTTTAAAGGCCTGGTCACAACAAACATCTGAAATGGTGAAATTTTAAAGCAAAATCTATTTTCTTTTTAATGGTTTTGCAGAGATTAGCAGGTTAGCATTTGGGGAAGTTTGACCCACAAATTTGCACCATTGACCAACAGCAAGCCATCTTGATTGTTTTAAACGTTCAGGGAACAGAGACTCAGAGAGTTAAAATTTTTGCCCGCTTGAAACACATTTCTGAGGACCTCTCTAAGATCAATGGCCATCAGGCTCATGTGATAGGTTTTGTTTCAGGTTTGGAACCCATACATCGTGTTTATTACAGCCATGTGTAACGTCAACTACTGACGTAACGACGCTTGCCGTAGCCTGGTTTATTTGCGCCAAACCAGCTGATGAATTTTGCAATTTCTATTTTTTTTTATTTTTCGCAAAAGTACACTTAAAATTCGCATGGCATTTATATTTAACCTCTGTCAGAGTACAAACTGCTCTACTCAAGAGGATTTGTCAATTATTACAATTATGAGACAGAAGTTGATGCTACATGTCTTTCCCATTAGCGACTGAGAGTGAACTGTCCATTGCGGAGAAAGAAATAAAAAAGCTACCAGTGTGAGACCGACTAATACTAGCGTGTTAGCGGTTCCCTCACCAGATATAGCAGCTTACCAACTAATCTTGCAAATATGCCCTACGTTACCAAGCCTCTAGAAGCACAAATTTTTCAAAACCACTTTCCGGTGTGACCAGGCCTTTAGGCGAGCGAGGAGCGATCCATGATTCTTATTGCAATGTAACGCAGACTTTGATGTCAACTTTCAACCTGTCAAATTAGGGTTAATTAGATAAACTGAAAGAACAGCTGTGATATTTTTTAATAGTCATGCATCAAAGAAAGTTCTCTGCTTGCTTTTGAAGCATAGTTTATGGAACTTAGGCAAAGTCCTGACAGATTTACCCAAATATAGCACCTGTTAAAAGGTGTACTGTCACCTGAGAGTTGAGTAGCTTTTTTTAGTTTTTGAAGCGGAGAAAAGAAAGTCAGCTAGAAAATCGAAGAGGCAGAATCTTGACAGGACATAGGCCATCCTCATCCATATAACTGACAATGTAAAGGCGGGCCTGCTGAAAAAAGGGTCTTATGTGATCCCAGACTGTATCACCATTTCCCGTTCCCTCGTTCTGTGCACCACAGTAAGTTGGGATGTAGAGGGAACTTAGAGGAGAAAGCTGGTAGAGGTGATGGGAAAGGCGTTTGTTGCGACAGGCAATCCAAAGTAGGGTGAAGAGATAATTGTTTACGCTGAGCTCTAAGCCGTCAAGTGCTTCAAAGAGAGCCGATAATCACTCTTTGGTGTGGTGTGCTAAGCTCACCTTGCATACAGAATGTTCCATATTCATAGCCAAGTTAGATAAGGATGTGAAATTCAGCTGAATGTTTGCAGCTCTGGGGCAGAACTCATGTTGACATGCACCTAGTTAGCTTTTACGTACAGGACTGAGGATTTATTTCTGTTCAAGGTTGCATTTTTAATTATATTTCCAGTCAATGGCCACAAACAAAAGCACCAAAAGCACTTATCAGTGTGGAAACAAGGTTAAGCTGTGTGGTCAGTGCCAAGCTTTGTTGTTTACTGAGACCAAAACTGAAGATTTAGAGAGAGAAACTGAGACAAAGAAAGAAGAGGAGAGCAAAAGAGACCACAGAGTATAAGAATAAGCTTATTTAAAGTAACAGCATTGCGTTCCACATTCCCCCTTGAGATTTCCTTCATTATTTTACCTCCAAGTCTTTAAGCACCTCTTACCAGACATGATTTCTGACAATAACCAAGTCATAATGTGCTGTTTCATTGCATCATGTAGCTTTCCATTTTAAAAGGTGGGTGGGGGGATGAGAAAGGGAAGGAGGAAGGTGGCAACATTCACAGTGTAGAACTCTCATTAGCGCATTAATGGATTTTGTCAGTGGGGTGTCTGTCAGGAATCATGCATTTATAATGGGGGTCACTTATTGGGGGAGGTATTGACAGCATAACACCTCAACATGTCAAGCAAATAACCTTCAGATTTAATGGTGATGTCAGGGGGAATCATTTGCACTGAGGAGGAATAGTTTAGGTTAAAAATGCTAAATTTAGCAATGAAATTACACACACACATAAAATATGTCAGAAAACCTATTTATTAAAATATTTGTATTTGGTTAATCAAGAACTTAAAACTACCTACTATCTTGTTTTTTTACAGACTATAATTTGTCATAATTTGGACATTTGGTTTTATGAGTAGTTGTTGGTGAAGAAAAATGTCTCCTTTTTGATGAAAATTACACCCATTGATGAATATGCTGAATAAGTGCTCTCTTTAAATAATACACCCGCCGCTGAGATTTCTTTCACTGTAAAATGGCAAGTGTTTTGTGTAGAGTAGAATATAAAAACTGTGACCAGCTTAGCCTTATTACTATACTGTAAATGACCCACAATCTGCTTTTAGAAATGTCTTTTAGAGGCACAATGGTGATTTAAGTGTTATATGTTTGTTATAGTCAAACAGGAAAGTTTTGCTACAGTCAGTGTTGGTATTTTGAAGCTGTTGTTCTCTGTTTTATTACTGGAATTTCAGAGTGAAGGGAGTTCAAGTGTTTGTCCATATGAAGGTAATATGTTTTGGATTTATTTTCAAAATGCTAACTTTTTTTATGATTGTGAATGTTCTGTTTTTGAGTCAAGAGATTTTATGGTGACTTTCTGTTGCCTCTGTTGTTCCGCTAAAGCTTGCTAAAATGTATTTCTGACTGACGCTTCGAGCTACCTCCAGAGGGCTGTTGTTGGTTTTAAACTGAGGGGTCGCCGCTTGTGTGACCCCCTGAAACATGTGCTCCTTGTCCTCTTGCCCTCCACTATGACGAAGCCCAGACCTGTGAGCGTAAGGTCATGGCTAATGGCAGACAAGGTCAGGGGTCATATTTGAGCCAGAATGGATTTTCCACAGCTGTACACAGGAGTTTGCACGAGCACATTACAAATAACCACTCTTTATTGGATTAAAATAAGAAGTCATATCATAACATTGTCTGTGGTATTTTTAATTTCATTTTCTCAGCTGCTTTTGGCTTCCAGCTGTTTGAGCTTTAATAAGCGCCTATTGTATTCAAGAAATATTTTATGCTGCTTTTTGCATCAGAGCTGCCAGGGAGCAAACAAGACTCAGCTGTCACTTTCACATGTTGTCAGAATTTGACAGATGAATTATGAAAGGCAATACCAAAAGACCAGATCATTATGAATATTTGAGAAATTTCCCCACTGAATCCAATCAATTCATTTTGTCAGATTTAATCAATTTCTTCATTTTCCCCAGCATCGAGATACCACATTTAAACTGTCATATATCTGTTTAAGGAATAATCATAATTATTTCAGTATTTTCTTCTTTCTCAGTTTTTTGTTTTAAATCTGAAACTGTGACATTTATTCCCCTTTGGCATCGTGTAAAATTGGACAGATCATATTCTGCTTAATCTAGAGGAGCACAGTATGGAAAATCATCATCAAGATGATCTCATGCGCCATGACTGTTTTTCAACTCCCACTACATTCCGGTCGGACAGCTACAAACATGGATGACAGTAACCTTGACAAACGTCACAACTGGCCCTGTATCCGTCCATCTTACCTGAGGCCATGGCCTTCAGGGACCATCTTTTCCTTTTAAGGGCTGATTGGTTGCAGTGCAGTCTAACCTCTGTCCTGAGTAAACTCCAGGGACTGTGGGTAATTGTGATTTTTTTGTCTGGTATTAAATAAGAAAAACACAGACCGGGAGAGAAAAGCAAGCCATGATCTGACACTTCATCAGTTAAATGATGCTGACCCATGTAAACGTAGCCGGCCGTGAAAAGGACACCTTTGAATAATGTTAGACTTAAATACATACATTTGCAGCCCTCTGCCCATTTGTGTAAAAAAATAATTGTCTCTGAGCCTCAATAGTGGCGCTGGTGCAATCGTTCTTGGTAATGCTGTAAAAAATATATATATACAACTTAATGGTTCATTTCCTGTGTGCTGCAATGATGTGAAATGGGCAGAGTAGAAATGAAAGAACATGATACTGTAGGATGCCGTCATTTTTTTCTGTGTTGTCACTTCAGCTTGCTCACAGCCTCTGGAAAATGTATTCTTAGGTTTTTGTCTCTGATGTTAGTTTTTTTATCACCTTGGCTGCCATCTTGAATGTTGAGTATCTTTGATCATGTGCTGATGTCACTTGCATAGCAGTGTTTGCTATCGAGGAAGATGTATGAGTATGTCCACATTCCTATTGTTCATGACATCTGTACAATTTGTATATTATAAAATGATTTATATTTAATGTGTACATGTGTCCTTGCTTCTTTTGTGTCAAAGGAAATGAAGCACCTGTTTATTGAGGCGGTTGCTCTTAAAAGTAACTTTGATGCTCAAGTGCAATGCTTTTTCAGGTATTATGGTTTTTCTCTAGATTTCACTGTTTTATTTTTCCAGTTGGAGAAGATGCATACCTTCAGAAATCAGGTACTTCAGGGGATACTAAAGTTGAGTCTGAGAGAAAAAAGTAACATAACAACATATTCTTGCAAGATAAATCTGTAATATTTTCACACATTTGTTTATAGAACTACACCTCTAAAATGATCATGCTTAGTTGCAACATAGCAACATCACAATATGGAAAATAAGCATAACTTGTACATTATATTAAAGGTTCAGTGTGTAATGTTTAGGAGGATCTACTGACAGAAATGCAATATAATACACATAACTGTTTCCAATGGTGAATAAAAACCTTACATAATGAACTGTTATGTTTTATTTGCTTAGTATGAGCCATTTCTATCTACGTACATAGACGTCGCCATGTTGTGGTGCCATGTTTCTACAGTAGCCCAAACGGCTCTACAGAGCGCATTTCGTCACTACATTGAATCACGTACGAAGAAGAACAACATGGTACATTAGTAGTAGAAGTAGTAGTAGTAGTTGACTGGTTTATTAGAAGTAAGAATGGAATAGAAATTTGGACAAGTGGAGGCCCACCAGTATTATTAAGCACAAAAGCTGACAGAGCGTGTCCGCCACCCAGCTTCTCCTATGGGACTGCAAGGGTAGCTGTGACTGATTAAAGTGGTGTCAGAATAAGTATACAGAACTTTGATTCGTGATAATGGTAATCTGACACGTCTTTGTAGCAGCATCCATGGTGATTCCACATTCCGACTTAAGAGCACATGAACACACACTGAAGCCGGGAGAACGACTTCACAACTCTAGAAATGGGACCATCTAAGAAGCATCTGAATGCACCGTGAGTTGCAATTCACAATCCTCACCACTAGATGCCACTAAAACTTACACACTGAACTTTTAAAGAATTTATATATATTTTGCATCTCTAGGGGGAAATGACAGCTGACTGATAGCAAAGCAGCCTTTCCAATCTGTGAGATACTCACAAAACAGAGACATGTCTGATATTGTTGAGAAAAAGCATCTTAAGCAAGACCAAGACTTGTGTATTACCTACAACCTTGAGAATCAGCAAACACAATGGTTAGTGCTTCAGCTGTCTTTGTTAGTAACCAGTAAAGACAAGTTCTTTGAAATGCTGTGTTCCAGTTATACAGTCCATGCTGCCCTTGGAGACACACAGAAACTAACTGAAAGATGAAATGACAACTTCAGTTCACTGAACACAGTGAAAAGACAAGGAAGCAGAATGCAGCAGGGAAATAAGACCCAAATCACTCTTTTCTCTGAGAAGAGAACTAATTTTTTGTCTGCTCCATCTGTTAGTACCTTCATTACTGTGGAAACCTTAGAATAGATAAATTTTATAGTTATTACACCCTAACACTAACAATACCATTACCTTCACCCTTACATCAAAACAATGCCATTCAGCCCCAAACCTGTCCCTCATGCATCAATATTTCACATAAAAACCAAGGCCAGCACCCATGATAATAACCATACAGTGTTCATGAACAGAAGTATATTTACAGTTGAGCCAACACAGCAGATGTGATCGATCATGAGCTTGGAGCCCAAGGGAGCGTAAGGTTATTAAGAGGGGGGCTTTGCCTTCAACCAAAACCGCAAACACCATATCCATTCAGTTCCCTACAGGAGGCGTTAATGGCTCTTGAGGCAGATTGGGGACTGCTGGCAAGCCGCTAAGCTGGTCAGAAACACATTGAGCCCGTGGTTTGGTATTACACTTATGACCCAGGGCGTTACATCCTAGAAGTAATGCTACACATCAACTTGCTGAGAGCAACATGTTTTGAATAGTTCCATTTATGAGTCAAAAACATGTTGTTTTCATGATTGCTGTACAGGATGCCATAACAGCATTCAGGGCATATTGACGTTGATTTAATGCAGATTTTAGGACTTTGTTGCCCAGAGGGCTTCTGAGTTTAACTAAGAGGTGGGGCTCCATAGCTGTGCCAGGTGTTCAATGTTGAATTGATTAATCCAGATTTCAGTACACCCATAAAATTGGTCTATAATGTTTTAAAGTCGTTGTTTCTGGTGAGATGTGGGTTAATGTTCGACTTGAAGCAATACTGCCATCTAGTGATTGACCAAGGCCTTGTGTACCTTGTGTGAAATAGACTCCTGTTAGTGCTGAAAGAATTAGTCAATTCGTTGAGTATTTGATCCACAGAAAATGAATCACCAAATGAGTACTGCTTTAAGTAGAATAAAGTTTTAAAAAATATTAATTATTCCACACCATCAAACAGTATGATATATTTAACGTATCAGCTTGTTTCAATTCCATATTGAGGCTAAACTGTGTTTGCACTAAGTGAAATATTTTTATATTTTTCCATGTTTTTATATGGCTGCAACATTCAGTCAAGTGGAGAAACCTAGCCTGACATTTCTGGTGTCTTTGGAAACTGTCAGATCTCCTCCACAATTTAAGTACTAAAGTTCTGTGAGTTGTAACTAAGTTTGGCTGCACAGGCTATGTTTGTAAAGACTATCACACCAGTAAGTCAGTAAAGTTTGTTGTTCAGACAATATAAGCAACTTAAAGATGACATTTTCAGAACTTCAATTGGTATTTGTCTGTACTTTTTAGACAAAGACAGTTGTATTTTACATTGTTAACTTGAAATGAGCTCACTCCTCACAGCAGTTTTCCTTGTCAACCCTCCTACTGCTGATATTAGCATATCCGTATTCTCAAGCAAACCAACGAGTGCATTTGAGCATCCAACTCCAATAAGTACACTTTGAACTTCAATATGAGGTCAGCATGAGTGTATTAATTACCATAACAGAGAGGAACTCTGAAGCTGTGTGTTAAAGACTATAATCACTTTGCCTTGACTTGCAAAATCTTCTGAAAACCATTACCGCAGTGTTTGATAACGTACTCGAGTTCCCTCCCCAACCCTTCGCACTCTGTGTTAGCAGATTAACTACTCACCGATTGATTAACACAATTACCTCTGTGTGTGCCAGTCGTTGTCTTATCAACCTTTGTCAGGCCTTAAACTGAAATTAATTAATATCCCCTCTCTTGTCATTTCTTAATTATATCAGTTCCAGCTGGAATTCCAAGAAATGTCTGTGTCAGCTGCTCTGTTTTGTGCTCATATTACTTTGCTGTGAGCTCATTGGTTCATTAGACAGGATATGAAAACATGCAGCTCTCATGCTGATGAGAGGTGATGAGGGGATGACATGATGAAAAAAGTGGCTCTTCAGACTACAGCTTGATTGAAGCGGCGCTCCTTAATCTTTCTGTTTTCCTGCTGAAGGTGACACTCAACTTTGTTTAGAGAGCTGGATGTTTTGACAAATAACTGTCAGTTTATTTTACACCGCTCTGCTAAACTCTGATCTCAGCAGTATGTAAGTTTTTAAAAATAAAGAAACTGACACTATTCACATCAAGACCTTCAGGTTCTGTAAAATCATTGAAGAGACAGCAGCGATTTAAATGAGCTTTTTATAATTTGTCATTGTCACTTTGAGTTCAGGCTGTTGGAGACGGACTGGATCGTAGTGCTCAGGTCTCCTTGATGTTCACCTGCTGATCACTGTCAATAAAACAAACACAAGTTCAGAAACAGCAAATGAATGGCTGTCAAATAAATGTCTTGTGTATGCAGAATATATTACATTTGAATAATTTCATATACTCTTACTGCAGATGTCTTATACCTTCAAATGTTAGCAAATAGAACAGAAGGTGAAACAATCTCACCACAACATGGACAAGAAGACCTTAAAGTGCTCAGAAAAAAAACAGATGGAAATCTGAACATTAAAACTCCATCTGCTGATAAAGATCATGTGATGTGATTGAAAGATGGGCTGCTACTAAATGGACTGAGGTGAGATTTGTGTGTCAACTGCTGTTTCCAAGAAAATGAAGTGCAGTTTTCTCCTTTGTTTCTTCAACATCACCTTTGGTGTTTTGGTACATTGTGCAATGCAGTAATCCACAAGCAAAACACTCGTTCATTCATTCTCTATTCAGATGGACCGTGGCTCAAAAAACAACAGCATTAAAGGATGCAGTCAAACCTGTAATTCATTTTCTTTGATCTGAACCAGACAGTTTTTTCTTTTACTTTCCTTTGTTGTATTTTTGGATTTGGTTCATTTATATTCAAACATACATACAGTAGTTTGGTTATTGGACGGACCTCTAGGGGATGACAGAGATGTAGTGCACAAACAAATCTGATTCTAGTCTATGTAACTGTGAAACACTGCAGACTGGGCTCTCTTGAATCAATTCACCTCTATAATGATATAATAAGTTGAGAACACAGAGCATGACACCAATGAAAATTAAGTGTCAAGACCAAGGTGGGTATTTTACAAAGCAGCACTAGCGAGTCAGCAGGTAAATCTTGGAACGTGTTGAAATTGTATTATTAGCAAACATGACTGAATCATTTCAAGATATATTATTTACATCCCAATGACATAGCATAGTCTGTGTCAGTGTTTCCTGCCTAACACTATGCTAATATTTATTCATTAAATATACCAGAAGCTTTCCAACCTGAGGAAGAGCTGGTGGTAAAGTTCCTCAAGTAGCATCTTCATCGTCTGTGAACATCTGCAGAAAATCTCATGTCAACATCAAAAACTCTCAAGTTAATGAGAAATCCTCGGGCACAGTCACTCGATTGGCTGTGAGTTTGTAAACACTACCTCTGGTGCATTTTTGGGCACAAACACATTCTACATTGCCTAATGTCACTGACTTTAAGACCGCCCTCTTCTTAGCAACTTCTGCACTTGTGTTTGTGGTTAGGGTAAAAGTTTGGGATTTTAGTTTTAGTGGTAGTACCTCCAACACTTTCAGGCGATTCTGTTGTGGCTTGGTGCCATCCTTTCTGGAATCTGTGAGTCTGTGAAAACCTATACCTTGTGTGGATTTGTCATTAACCACCTAGCCATTTCTGGGCTTTGTTTTTACTTTATATAACCCTTTGTCTTACCTGCTGCGGCTTGTCACAGCAATGGAAGCGCACATCATTGAGGCTTGAGTCGTCCAAGCCATACTGGTATTCCTCCATCTTGGTCTCAATACCACAGATTCCTCCATTGAGACACTCCTGGCTCCAGTGGCCATACTCTCCCCAGTCCATGCCGCGTCCCTCCAGTGTTGGGTTGCTGCTGCAGCGGAACTTGATGTTGCCGACAGCCGTGTCGTCACCAAACAGACCCTGATGGGGCTCCACGCGAATCTGGAAAGAGGTGAGTATGCCACTGGGGCAGTACTGGGCCTGGGACCAGTCACCGAAGCTGGACAGGAAAGTAGGAATTACAGGGTAATCAGGAAAAGATCCAAGATGTGGGGTGGAAACACTGGAACAGCGTCAAGACATTTCAACATCTGAACACCTAATTTGCAATCCTGGCAGAAGCGGTGCTTTCATTTCCCCTCTGAACATGATGGGAAACTGCCAGTCTCCAGCTTCATGCTGATTTCAAAGTACCTCATTTATTTATCTAATTCTTGTTTAGCCTTTTTAGAACAGCCAGGTTAGTCCCACTGAGATCAAGGATCTCTTTCACGAGATTGATCTGGCCACAGCAACAAGCAGCTGCATATTTTAAGACATCAATAAAAACATTTCTGCATAAGTGGCAGACATGCTCAAAGAGGGTGGAGGAAAGTGGTTCAATTGATATGTTCATCACTGCCCAACATTAGAATTCCACTTGCTGAATACTAGCTCTCTAAAATAAAAAATCCCAAATTGCCCAAAATCCATTTATTGACAGCTTATTAACAAAACTGCAGATCGGTTATAACTTATAAGGCTTCTTAGAAAGAGGTATCGTTTGGGCAACTTACTAGCCAGTGTGGGATTCAACAGAGTAATGGAAGCTTCGGTTTCCATCTTTGGCACAAATGAGGCGAATCCCATTAAGGGCAGTATCATCCCCCCCATACTGGTTAGACTCCACCTGAGGAAATGGAAGACAGTTCCCAGAAGCAGTAACAGTTCTGGTCAAACCAGCTTGTTATCTTATTCTAGTGAATCAGCTGTGAAAGTTCACATCAGGTTAAGTATAGCTAGTTTTTTAGGGTTTGTAGTCCATGCAGAGAAGTGAGGTATAGTATCGAAAACAACAAGACAAAAACACATTTTTCTATTCAGAGTTCATCTCACTGACAGAATTGTTCTGCACACAGGTTAACACACACAAAGGATTGTATTTCAAATTCTGCTTTCTCAGGACTGTGAAGATTATATTTTCAGTTTTGTGACTGGAGCTTGTTGTAATCAGATATTTCCTCCTGTAAGCCACCTTAGGATAGGAAATATATGTTGGCCACCCTAACTATGTATTTGTAAAACTAAATTGAAAATGGTAAGTGTATAGTAATCATAACTCAGATGCATTTATTTCAACTTCAGCAAACTGTTCTTACCATCTGTATCTTATGTTTCTTAGCTTATCTATCTTCAGCAGCAGCGCTCTTTATGATAAGAACAACATCCATATGACTGATCTTCATACTGAAAAAAATCCAATTTACAGAAGAGCAAACAAGCACCAAACAGGAACAGTCAAACAAACAAAACATTCTCCATTCAAGTCAGAAAGAATTCAGAAAACACAAATTTATATCTACAAAATAAAGCTTCAAAGAAAGTAAAATTATTTCACTACAAGTCATAACAATGAAATAATTTAAAATATCAAAAATTATGAGGCAAAAGTTCAAACGACAAGGCATATATATTTATATGCTATGTAAACATGAATCTTTGAATCTCTTCATAGACAAGGAGGTTCAGCATGTTATGCGCCTTTAATTTGGCCTCAAGTTGATTGCCTTGATTTTTAACACCTGTCCTTGTCAGATGAGTGTTATTCTTATCCTGAAGAAAGCTGTTCACCGATGTAGAAATAAATGCACTTGAGCTATGCACTTTCCATTCTCTCTTTTTTGATATTGGCAGTTGTCCGCGTTTTCCCTCAGTTTTTCATTCTAAATGTAGAACATGATTCAACTAATCATCCAGTGGTTCATGAAAAGCAAAACTCAGAACCGAATAACTGGACTGAATTTTTTTTTTTTTTGCCATGCCACAGTAGGTTTATATTTAATATGAAATTTGTAATAGTGAAATAGACATTTTCTTTACCCTTATACTGAATCCAACAGCAAAGAACTTGTCGGGACACATCTCGGGCCAGGTCCAGTTTCCAAACCTCTCTCCATTGTTCACAGTAAGCAGAGATCTGTACTGTCTGCTGTTAAAGGCCTTACCAGCTCTCTGCAAAAAGGATTTCTCCTCACATAACCCACTGGACAACACAGCCAGGAGGGTCACAACAGTGAACAGACTTGCCATATTGACAGCAGTGAGTCAGTGGTTCACTCTGAAATGCCAGCTAACAAGTACCGGAGATTCATGCTCAAAGCTCTTATAGCTTCCCAATCAATTCCAAAAATAGACCACTTGTATCTGGACAAATCATTTACAGACTCACAGGGTGCCGTGGGAATGAACAGCTGGTGTTGGAGTGAGTTTTTCCTCACTGAAGTTCAGAGACACAGGGTATCTGCAACTATCAATCCATCTTTTACATTACAACATGCAGTGAATCTGATAGGTCTTTAATATTTCTAAATCACCAACCAGCAGAAAATCCACAGGTCTGTGTTGCCTTTACAAATGTAATCCACAGGAGAAAGTTCAGCAGCAACACAACCTTTACAATTAAAAAGTCTTGTAATCGATTGTTGCAAGGATTGCTGTTGTCAAAGTATAATAATACATAGATTGAGAAGTGCAGTGCCAGTAAATAACAGGTCAGTAAAGGCGGAAGCAGTTTATTTAATCTTGCCCGGATATGCTCAGACATCACACCTCATCACTGTTGTCAGATAAAAACTGTCCGAATTTACAAAAATAATGAAACCAGCCTTACAGTCAGATATGGTTTTATCTTTATTTTGACAAAGTTTTAGCATCCTCTAGTATAATACATATCTGTGCATGCATGTGTATAGATTAATTGTATATATTGTCAGTACATCCACACACAGCTATGATGTCATGTAATCAGTATAGTGCCTTGAGAATGTGGCATCTGACACAACCGGAGTTTTCATTCGGCAGTTACATATAAATAGTAAGTTTAACTAAAACAGTTTTTAAAGTTGATTATGATGTTACCAGATAGTAAATCTCTTTAAACCTTAAATAACAACATTTGGAGTCATGTTTCAGGCAACCTCATGAATGCTGGTCCAATGTTCACCATCCTTTTAGCTCTGTTTTTGGTCTCAGCTAAATTGTAAGGGAAATAACTGGCTCTTTAGCAGTGAAATGCTCTATTTTTTTTAATTTTATTCACCAGCTAGTCACTAATATTGTTTGTCTACAGTTTGTTGCTGAGCTGGTAGCGTACAGTGGGATTTTTCTCTGAAATCCGCTTCCTGTTGTGTCCAAAAATGAGGTTATGAAACCAGTAAAATGAACAAAAACAGTGAAGCTGCAGGACTGAAAACCAAAATAAGATGCTAAAAGACAAAATCTTCTGTAGAGCTGAGTGTAACTGTAGAGTCCAGTGATAATTTTCTGTGTTTACACATTTACAACATACAAGTTGTCATTTGATACATTGTTCATGTAAAAATATTGATTAAGGCACCTTTAAATCAGCTTTTTTTGCATTGTGGAAGTGTAGAAAAATTTTAGCAACAGCGTTAAGATTATCATGTGGTGAAAGAAACTTTAGAATATATATTTAAACATCTAAATGAATAAATTACATTAGAAATAAAATTAAATAGTCAGAAAAAAAAGTCTGGTGGTAAGATGTTTTTTATTTTGTAGATCACTTTATTTTAGCACCAGCTATTGGGATGATTTACATAATATGCTGATTATATTGTTTAAGTCCTCTGTCTTAACTAGCGTTAGTGATGGTTGACGCTAGCAGAGTGGTATGCAGTAAATTGTTGATCCAACATACACAGATGTGACATGTCATGTAAAGATACTGAGTCTTATTCCAAGCTGAAACTGTTATTGTAAGCGACAGATCTGACACTTGTACAAATACGTGACTACACAAAGTTAGAACGATTTATGGCACTATTATGTAGGATAACAGGATCCTTGTGTGTCTACTTGGCTGAAGTCAAACCTGAAATATGAAAAGAAAGGGTTATAAAACCTGATGACCTGTTTTATTTCATAATTCCACTATACAGTCTGGTCTTGGTCACCATATCTGACAAAACAATGAACACTGCACAAAAGTAAAGTGAATGGTTTCCTAACATGGATACTAAAGTCAAAGCATACCTCTGTTTCCACCAATAGTAAACTGCTCCACCAGCAGCTGCAATTAAGCCAATAAAGAAGAAGATGAGCCCCACAGTCAACTTCAGGTATTTAGTGTCCAGTATAAAGGTGTCTATGGGAAAGAAATAATGTCAGGTATTAAATTTCAACACTGTTTGAGTGTGTTTCTCCTCCATAATAATTCTTACCCCAGTCCACCTCCAGGCTTTCTTTGAGGCTGCTATGCTCCACCCTGCAGCTGATCCTCTCCCCTCGTCTTGGTATGAACTCCAGGTAAGAGTGAAGCTGAAAGCTCCAGTCCCCGTTGGCCACAATATCTGTAGACGACACATCGGCGGTGACCTCTACTCCGTTTCTCAACCAGCTTACCCTCACTTCTTGAGGAAAAAAACCCAGAACGCTGCACTTCAGCATGGACCGCTGCCCGTAGTCAGTTCCCTTAGTCTGATGGACCTTGACAATCGGAGGCACTGGAGTGCAGAATTAATTTGAGAAAAAAAACATTCACTAAATGACCTACTTGACGTGGTGCCTACTTCAAGGTAGAAAGCAGAAAGAGAGTCATGGGATTAAAAGTTTTCTTTAAGCCATTTAATCTAAGAATGGGGAGAGAACAATTGTTTCCCTTTTCTAGTGAAGCATATTAAGCCATTGAAACAGCATTATTAAAATGTCAAAATCTCAGAGCAGAAAATACAGAAATGTACCTTTTCTGTCCAGCGTGCTCCTTCTGTATAATCTTGCGTTGTATCTGCAAAGAATCTCCACTTGACTTTGTCTTAAGGCCATTTTCCAAACCTGACTATTATAATGGTCTGCATTTTTCATGCCGTATTCTCCAAAGCCAACATACTTCCCCACCCGAGAGTCATACATGGTAAAAAGCTGCTGGTTAAATACGTTTTTCACAAAGAAGACCATATCTGTGATGTTGTCACCATACTCACAGTCGTATATCATCTGATATACATAGCCACCTATAACAGACAGAAAACCAGTATGTACAGAAAACTGTGAAATAATAATCAATAATTTTTTAACTGCATATTTGCTGAATGAAAACATATCTACATGATGTGATGTTACAAGAGGTTAACTCAGAAATATGCAGTAAAAATACTTGATATGTTCTTAATAAAATGTTCTCAACAAAAAAATAATAACTAGCATCAGAAAAATCAGTTTTACAGTAAGATGTTTGTTTTGCACTGTAATGTGATAGTTATTTTAACAATAAAATAAAGCAACAAAATAATGATGAAACCTACCTGCTGGTGGATTGCAGAGCAAAACAGCAGAGACTGTGAGTTTGTACAGAAAATAAAGTCCCATCTTTTAAACACGGAAAACTACAACATTAAGTTAATAACTTGCTGGATGCAGAAGCCTACAGACTTAATCATGCTGCTAAAAACCTCTAGAGCTCAAAAACTAAACTGCATAAACTAAACTACATGCTTGCTCATAAAGTAAATGATGCAAATGTTTTTTTAAGCTAGGGCAGTGCTGAGATGAACAGGTCTTTCAAGTTTTGTCATAGCTGCAGTTCTGCCTAACATTATTTACAGTAATAGGAGACAATTAACTACACCACAATTTCCTGTAAATGAGCGAAACAGAAATTTAGGCAGTCTAGTTCCACTCTTCCCATGCAGTGCTATGCCATTTCTTGGGGAACTCAGCACTAAAGCTGCATTTCCACCGCAGGAACTAAACCCGGAACTAGGAACCTTTGGTCCACATCAGCGTTTTTGCTGCATATCAGAGTTGATCTCCGTCTATATAAAAATGACACTGGGTATGTGCATGCCAGTGTAAACATGAAGCAGGTGGTCTATTCCGCAGTTGCAGAAGATTTGGCGAAAGAAGAAAGGACTATGGACGAAGAACCTCAAGGAGTAGTATTAAAATATTTTAATTAAAATACCAAAACTAAAACTCTGTCAGTAGTATTGTGTTTTTAAAGTCCTCCGTTTTTGGCCGTCTGCACTACTACACTACCCCGGAGTTTAAAAATGAAAACGGGGTCAGCAGCATTTTATTTTTAGGCCTTCAGATCAGCGGTTTTAGTCTGGACGGGAGGTGCAAACGTAGCAGAAGGTCTGCATTTTAAAACGAAAACGTAGTAGTGTGGATGGAGCCTAAGTCGATCGTGTCAGGTGTTTTGCTACTACTGCTCCTCTCTTTTCCACCGTTGTTTGCACAATAAATCACAATCAACAGTCAAATAACACACACGTCTCACCGATGTCAGCCTGAGATCGTACATCGGTTATAGCTCGGAAATAGCAGCTAGCATGCCGCAGTGTGTTTACAGCTAACAGCTAATGGAGTTAAGCTAAATACTGGATCCGGAGTTGTGTCAAGTTTTCATCAGTCAGGAGGTTTCTACATGAGCCGAAGTAGGTCTCCTGCTCTCCAAAACAAACGGACCAGCTGATTACAGCACTTTAAAAATCACGTTCCTCCGAAGCTCAGGCGGACACAGACATGAGTGCTGATCTGCAGCTCTTGTTGGCTGGAAATGTTTTAATGCCCTTCCAAACTATTGCGATTTTATGTTTGTGTTTCTTTCTCTGTGCTACAGTTTTTTTTTTAAGAACTTTATTAAATTTGCGACAAACTTTAATCGTGTGTCTCGTCATTATACTCCCCCAGAAAAAAACATGGTCAAGCATAGCCTATAGTTTTTTTAATTAATTCAATTAATTCTGATGTTCATATATACATTTTGCTCATGGATAGCGGCATTACTAAATAATGATGCCAATCCGTGGCTCTGCATGGCGTATAGGTCAGCTGGTTAATTTGCCTAATCTTCGCAGGTCTTTAGACTGTGGTGGAAATGCATACAACAGTGGGCTGAAGGATCTTTTAGTTCCTTGAAAAGTAGATCCTGGTACTTAAAGTCCCAGGTACTTTTGGTGGAAACGCGGCTTAATTCATCATTCAGCATTTGTTTTCTCTGCTCTATCATCTGAGCCAAATTGCATTATTAATCCTTCTGGTAGGTAGGTAGGTTTATTGTCACAATATAACAAGTGATGAGAGAAATTGAGTTTTGAAAGTCCCTTCAGCTGACAGTGTCTATTTTTATAGCAAAGCTGCAGTACTTTCAGTGAGATCTCAGATTCATCCCTCAGAGGCTCCACACAATTCCATATTCAAATGTGGCAGCTATCTTATCAATCACTGTGAAAATAATTAGATTCAGACCAGAGACAATGAAAACTAAGCAGAGAACAGAGGCAGTTTGGAGAGTATTAAAACACTAGCAAACAGACATGACAAACATTATGCACTGATCATTCGTGTCAGGCAGTCACTGACGGACCAGCAATCTGCCTAAAAGCTTAGTCGGTGCTTCGATTCTTGATGGTGACTTTGTGACTGTGCCAGTGATCAGACTGGCTGATGTGGTGAAGGGTTAAGGAACTCAAGAACAAGAATGTAAGGGAACTGTTCTCTTTCATTTGAATGTGTGTTGCATGTACAATGACATGCAGTACAGTATACAGGAACAGACATTTTCAACTTTCTTTCATGTGCCTTATTTGTACAAGCTTTAAGCTGTTTCTGTGCTGCAATATGATCAAACGCGGGTAAAGCCTCTGCACTTATCTTATATATTATATTATTAATTGTGTAAAATGGAAAAAAAAGTCATTAGTCAAAAACTTTTTTAGGATAGAGTCAATCGCATACATTCTTTCAAGCAAATTTAGAAATAGTAACCCTCTATTCTTAAAAGAATAGTTTGATGTTTTGGGAAATACAATATTTGGCAGAGTTACATGTGAAGAATTGAAACCATTCTTACGTATATATCTCTGTAAAATATGCCAGAATACTTCTTTCTAGTTACTGAGCTTTAGAAGTGCAGCTTGCAGATTTTCGTTACTGTTGGACAGAGCCAGGCTAGCTGTTCCCCAGTTTCCAAATCTTTGTGCTAAGCTAACTATGTCCTGGCTGTAGCCATATTCTGTATGTACAGTACAGACAAAAGAATGGTATTAATCTTCTCATAAGTGACTAATACTAACTGAAAATGTATATTTATTTAACTGAACAAACTTTCTATTTAGCTCTGGTTTAGTTTCAGTATTGTTGCAGAAATGGAAAAAAACAACATAAAACACAGCAAGTGTAAAAACAAAACAAAGAAAACTGAAAAAAGAAAGAAAGAAAACTGATAGGGGAAAAAAATAAATAAATCTCACTCCAACTCACTAACAGAGGAAAAACACAAGGGAAAAAAGATCACACATCTGACATCGAAATTCAGGTGTTTGTCTTGATGCGTGTCACGCCTGGCAGGACTTGTTGGCTTTCATGATGAACCAGAGTCCTGTGACAACTCCAATCAGCCCTAGGATCACACCACAAACACACACTGTTGTCTCTACAACCTGCTGGTCTGGGTGTACTTCAGCCTCTGTGGAACACACACAGACACAGATTGCATTAGTTTTAATGTTGTGAGTTTTTGAAAGTGGAAACCAGCCTGAACCAACATTTTGTGCCAATAATATTGTATATATTTAGCAGGATAATATAGCTCTAAAGCCTTACTTTCTAATACATACATTTATCAGTTAACTTATCAGAACATGCACAATACATCACATTTATCTGACATGTGGATTATTCATTTGTTAAATACAAGTGTAAAACTGTGGCTTGATTTTGTTTACTTAGCTATAACGACTACTTCTGTTGGGAGTTCAAATGTGAGATATTATCCAATGTTGAACTGATAAAGTTAACTGTCTGCAGAGAATAAAACACTTTAGATAGATCAACCTACCCCAGAACTTGGTGAGAGGCTCCTGCAGGCTGATGTGGTGCACACTACAGGAGTAGATGTCGCTCTCTTGCGGAGTAAAGTCCAGGTAGGACGAGATGCGGAAGCTGAAGTCGCTGTTAGAGTAGTACTGAGTCTGGCTAACTTCGCTCTGGTCCACCAGCTGCCCGTTTCTGGTCCATGTGATGTCGACTACAGGCGGATGGAAATCATTGACAAGGCAGACGAGGGTGTTTGGGACCCCGAGTTCCAACTCCTGCTTTGGGTAGATCAGGGAGGTGGGACTGACTGCAGATGGATGGATTGATGTTTGACAGAGAAAGATAAAGTTACACTACATGGCCTATTGTGATTTTTCATTCTAAAACCACAGGCATTAATATAAAGACATATCCTTGTTTTGTACACAGGGGCACTGTGTCCACAAAGATGGAAGCACAATATAACATTGTATGCTAACCATTGCCCAAACCATTACAAACAGCCTCAGACAAATGTATGTGCAGGTACTTTAAAGCTGGAGTGTGGGTCGTACATTTAAATGAATGTCTGTTACATTCAAGCCCCCAACAAACAAATTTACACAATGCTGATTAAGCCCATCACTGCCAGGTAAATCTCTCTATATTTCTCAGTATTCAATAGTTTTTAAATCTGGTGTCTGTGGAGACATTCCCTCTCTGGCAAACTGGTAGTGATGTGGTTCATGGCAACCAGAAATTATTGGTTTGTTAGAGCTGAAGGGGGGAGCAACTGTGACGACAGAGTAGGCTACAGCAACTAGGAGTATGGCAGGGCCTATACGTCATAAGCGATACTTCGGAAAAAACATAATCATTCATTTGGTGTCTTGTTTCTGGCCACCTGATGAATGTAAATGCGATCGTCACTTTCTTTAAACTCTTCTCTGTAGGTTCATCACTTTGAGCAACTTCTTTCACATTGTCATTTGATACATCGTTATTATAAAACTATTTATGCCACTTTAAAGTCATAGATTCTCTATGTTTAACCTTTATAATGAGTCAAATGCCAGATTATGGGCTAAGGCTTTAATCACCCCAAAACAAAAAACATTTTTGAGATTTTCATGGCATTGAAAACAGGTTGAACTCATGAACTAAAATGTTAGATATGAAGTGATACAAGTACTTGTATTTTCTGATCATTTTTGTGCAATTCATTCCTAAAAGTCTGCCACATCCCAGTGCTATGGAACACATACTAAGTAACAGAAACTCCCCAGTGGATAGCTAGACAATGAACAGTGATGCTTTAACCTGCACTGACAATACATGCATAATTATACACCCAGAGGTTAATTGCACCTCACAGGCACTGTCCCTGCTGGTACAATATTCTTCTCTTAAGAATTACAGACCTTGTTAGCTTGTGTTTAACAACACAGCTTACAGTGCTTCCATTACACTGTAGTAATTTGACTTTTGTTTTTGGGATTAGGCTACAATCTAGCGTAAATTTTGGAAAGATGAAGCCAGCTGCGTGACTCTTTGCGGTTTATTTACTGTATGTTTTGTTCAAGACTAAAGGCAACAACTGAAAGTAACTAAGTACACTTACCAAAGTACTGTACTTAAGTATGGGGAAAAGTGACAAGGAGCCCTGGTCACTTTTCCCCTCTGAACAGACAAAGCCACACGATCCACTATTTAAAAAAATTCAAAATAAAGATTACACCAAGTCCAATATTTGAAGATACATTTCTGTAGCAGAACCTTCTTTTTTCTTTCATTTTAACCACGTCATGACCCCTCAGATGTATCTTGTGAGGAGGGGGGCCAACCAATAGTTTGGGAACCACTGAACTAATCTACCAACTGTACATTAAACAGTTGAAACTAGTTAAGAAGGCCTACTCAGTTATCAGCAAAGACGCAATGTCAATTTCAATTACCTCACCTATGACCGCTGGAGGATAATTTTCTCCCTTTATGGCACGTGGGATGTTGTAGTGGCAGGTACCCAGGGACACATATGTGTCTTGGGCCAGCCCAGGATCAGGGGTCCACTGCTCTGCAAACTCTGGCAAACGTGGGACTGCCTGATAGGTGACAGGGTCAACATACAGGAGCTGATCGCCGTCAAATTCAATATCATACTGTCCATCTACCGGTTCATCCCTTTGACAGAAGGTCAAGAAACGAAGCAAGTGTTTACCTGCAGTTTGTTTCAAAAAGATGGAAAACATATTATAACATAATGGTGTTTGCAGTGTGCAGTCAAGTCATTCAAAGTTCTTTTTGTTATCAACTCTTGTGTCTATGCTATTGAAAATAAACACCAAACATCTGCTGCTACTAAAATTATGGCTGTTCTTACAAAATAAAGCAGTTAAAAGGAAGAAATGGTGACATTTTATAATGGAGAGGCAGACAAAAAAAAAAAAAAGTCTATTATATAAACATAGCTGATCAAAATGGAATGGTATGGCTTGAATAATAACTTACCAAAATGACCAAAGCATTTATTCTCGATGTAGTAATGAACTAATTTTTTTCATATTCTTCTTCAGGGTTTTGCATATGTGAAAACAAATCCTCTTAACCCCTCCTTACAATCATTAATGGATATACTTTTACAAAAACGTACCTTGACTGTATTTTGGAAGACAAATAACGAGCAGCACTAGGAACAGATTCATCGCCATGTTGCGTTTCAGGTCCTCCAAACACCAAACTGAGCAGGTTTCACTGGCTGTCACTGGCTTGTTCCTCACAAACATCAAACTGACACTATTTGATTCATACGGTGATCTGACTTCCTTCCAACACAAAACAATCAGTGCTTAGGACAACAAGGGTTCCACCTTCAAAACAATGAGAGATGTCAGGTTTTAAAAACATGAGTAACTGCTGCCGCCTAGTGGAGGAAAGTTGTAATCACAATATATACACACCTGTCTGGAGACAGTCATATCATACTTCGGTACATATCATACTGCTTTTTTTGTTTTTAACTAAAGGTTAATCTGTGCTCCTACTGACTTCCACTGACGAGCAGTCAGCTTTAAGGCCATGAATTTTCCCAATTCATAAACTGTTAATCTATACAATTACAGACAGCTGTGGAAAAATCATCACAATTTCCCAGCATTACTTGTTTTGTCCTACCAACAGTAAAAAAAAATAAATAAAGTAATGAAATTAGAGTTAAAAAGTAAACAAATCTTCACCTTTTAGAAACTACAACCACACAATGTTAGGCATTGTGCCTGATAAAGGACCTAAAACAACACAAAAAACTGTGTCTAATTGCTAATCAATAAAAAAATTAAAATAAACTCCCACAGACAGACAAAACTCTTTCTACACAAGAGAATACTTTAATAAACACACTTGCCAAATGAAAGATATGCTTCTGAGAGGCAATAACCTGCTTGACCAGAGGCAGCAATGCTCATGTGAACGCTCTTCAGATAACAACAAAGACAGTTAACTGGAATGAGAAATAACAGCATGTAAAAAAAAACAAAAAAAAAAACAAGGTAACTAAAAAACAGACTGAACAGCAGAAATACAATAGTTTGTGCAACAGCAAATACAGTTTAAGTATATACAAGAATATATTCTTTCACTGAACATTCAACAACAGCTTCAACTATGCATGACTATAAAGGACTTTGTCTCTTTATGTCTAAGATTATCTTTAGTCTTTATTTACTTGTAGTGTTATTCAAATTCAGTTTTTTCAGTCAACATAATTTGTTCCAGTAAGTGCCGAGCAGCCAAAAGATTTCTTTAAGGAACATTCACTGTTTTTAAGTGCTACAGATGTTTTCAAAAACAAGTAATGCAAGACTTCAGATTAATGTGGAAATTAGAAACCTGCACTATAGTCAGAACATTCAGCTCTTCAGAAATAGATGCACACTTCAGTTCAATTTGATGATGTTGAGAACGTCAAAGCTGAACAGCAAGAACGGATTTCAAAATACTGAAGACAGTACTTCAATTAGTGTCATATTTATAAGACTAGCCTGTCTTAAATTGGCTGGTGGGCATATAGGAGAATAGTGCAGCCATCAAAATCAATACAAACTGAATGAGTGTTACTTAATTGCAAACTTTGTCATTACAGTATGTTATGCCATTTCAATACAGACCTACTGCATGAAGTCACTTTGTTATCAATAAACAATTAGTACAGGCTGTAAAACAGACTGCAGCATAAAGCTCAATGTCAAACTGAGATTTAACTGCAATGTGTGTAAACATAAAAGAGAAATGATCCAGAACTAGAGCTGTAACCAACTGAAAATTGTGACCAGAATTGGCAGATATGACTGTTTTTATTTACTGCTCAACAGCTCTTAGACCTGAACATGAGAAATAATCTTGCAGCTCCTTAACAATATTGTATTTTTTCCAAATAATATAACTCTTAACAATCCAGATAATTAAGGCTGAGTCTAGGGGTTGATCTAAAATGAAGCGTGGTAGAAGGCCAGATGTTAGAAAAGCAAGGCTTGTAACCAAAGGTTGCTGGTTCAAATTCCAGTATTTCCATCTGAGGAAATGTGGGTGAAGAAAACAAATAAATAAACACTCCTCCATTCCCTCACCACAGACGACACAGCGTAAGGCCAGCCAAAGCAGATCTGGAGTTAGGTCTGTCTTTCCACGTCCTTCTTTATTACTCCGCTTCCCTCTTTGGGGGATCACCATAAAATTCTTCTTTATAAAAGAAACATAAATTTGTACAAGTATTTACAAAGGGGAGGAAGGGGAAACAAAGGCATTTAGTGTTTGGGTTCTATGATTATCCAGAGAGACGTTATTTCACATCCCACAGTCCCACATTCAAAACGTTTAAGTCCCCTTGGATTGTTTTTCACCATGGTATCCAATATCTCAGCCCACTACTGTTTCAGGGTGTGTTGTGTCCTGGGCCAGCCCAAGTCCCTGAGTTACTCGTGTATTCTCTCTTAGCCAGTGCTAAGGATCTCAACCAGAGTCTGAATCACTGGTGTCTGAGGACGAGGAGGAGGAGGACGAGGAAGAGGAATCGGAGCTGGAGCTGCTGCCACTGAGGCGTGTGGGCTGGGTGTGAGTCTCTACAGCACTGGGCTTCTCAACTGAGGAGAGAAGAGTTTTATGGACACACCGGGTACAGATGAAAAAGTAAGAGAATGTTTTATGAAAGACAAACAACAATGAAGAAGTAGTTTATATATAAATAGCAATAACAAAGGTCTGACTCAGTAGCCACTTTCACAAAGAGATCCCGTAATAAACGCAGAAAGAATGTCCGCCAATATGTCGCATTTGCTCATTTATATCGAACTAAATATTGAGGCGTAATCCCACAACTGTGTGTGCTTTCACGTAGCGATCCGGCTTTCTGGGTTACCTGCATTGAGTCCGCCTGCGACGCATCTGCCGGAGCTAGTCCGGTCAATTTTCAAAATAAAATACCCTGTGCAGACGCCAGATTGTAAAACAACAATAAACACTGTTAAAACAGACAGAAAATTTAGACTACTTAACCGTTTAACTACGTAGCCTACTTAATCATAGTAGAAGCAAAAAAAGCAAGCACTGATTACCAAATCAACAAAATCTAAACATGTCAGCAAAATCAGGCAGGCAAAGCGCTCTGATGCTACCTGTGGGATATGCAGCCTGAAGACGACGGAACGAAACGGGGTCAGAGAGAGCTGTGAAGAAGGTAGTAGAAGCACAAAAATGCTAAATAAATAACAAGTCAATCCTGAGACACTTCCAGTGAAAGTTGACGCCAGGCTGAGGACAAAACAAAACCGTTGCTCCGCCTCTGTTACAACCAACATTCCCGGCTCATAGGCGGATCAAATCGTCATACAGCGCAGCGAGCCAGCATATTAGCGTAACAATCCCGGTAAAATACGGCAGTGTGAAAGTGCCTAGTGAGTTACATTAAAGCACATTTCTTGGGACTTTCTCTGCACATTGCAAATATCCATTATACGGTGCACATTCCTTGGTCAACAAACCCGATTCTGAGGTGCATGTGTTGTGCATGAGATACCATGCACATAGTGAATGGGGATGTGTGAGCTCACCTTTAGGTTTAGCAGGTTTCTTGACAGAATTGAGTTGCCCACTGACATCTTGCAGCCTCCTCTCCAGCTCCCTCCTCTTCTCCAGAGTCAGCTCCTCTTTAGACTTGCCAACGCTGCCTTTCTTTGCTGCTGCACATGAAAAGATGACAAATTTGTTACCGACCCGGGTTACCACATGGTCACGCAGTGACCTATGTCTTGGACATCAGGGCTTTTTCCTAGGGGATTGTGGAGGTAGTGTGGACTAAATTCAATCAGATGCAAGTAATGGGATGTAATTGTGTGATACCCCACTGACCCACTGTGCTCACCCTCAGTTCTATTTAGCTCAGAGCAAAAGAGCTGTTACTTCGTTCTGCAGCTTGGCTTCCTGAGTAGCAGACTAGACTCTGAAATTTAACTGGAGAATTTGTCATTAATGTTGGAAACAAACATCAAGATAGGAAGAGTCAGGTCTGTCTTACTGTACATACTAACTAAAGCAAATTCATCATCAACTTTCCACATCACTGTATTGACCTTAAGGAGCTGATCCAGCAGCTTTTAGTCAGGAGGAAAACTAGGCCTTCAGTCATTGAGACACACGGAGGGTGAGAGATAAATAAAACATGACTGTACAGTATCAAAGTCAAGTGTGTTAACTGGCTGAGAACACAACATGACATGCCTGTCAATTTGGTGCAATAGCATGGTAACGTTTTTATTTCTTTAGTAAATCCAGTCACGGGAAAATCTAAATTTGGTATCAAAATATAGATCTGATCCTTTGCATATGACTTGGTTAAAAAGCCACCAGATCTGCTCTAATACATAGTCGTTCTCATTTTCTTGGCTTCCTGTCTGTTTGCGTCAGATTGTGCCCCTCGTCCTTCTGATATTTCTGTCTTGATGGTTCTACCCATGATCTCTCTGATGAAATGTTGGAATGTTTTAACAGTTTGCCTGATTGTCTGCTTAACATGTTTTTGTTTTGTATCATTGCTTGCATTGCTGCTTTATGTTCTTGTCTGCCTTCTCATGTGCACTTCTTCATGTTTGTTTTAATGGATAATTCAACATCTGGCTAACAGTCAAAAATGACCCTTTTAGTGAACACTGGTATATTAAGAGTGATCAATGTGCATTGTACATATAAAATATACATAAATACAAAATATTAAGTATATTGGCTAAAGGTTGACAGGTATGGGCTCTGTGTTTACCAACGTGTAGCTGACACACACCACAGAAATCAAGTGTCGATCATCATTGACTCATTTGAAATGTACAAACTGGTTTACTGCAATGCCTTACAAAGCTGCTTTGAGTTGCATTGTTTGTCCCAAAATTGGCCTAAGACACAGCTGCATCACATGCTGGATATTGATTAACTGTGCTGTTAACTTAGTGTTAATGGTATTAACTTTTCAACAAGTGCAAAGCTACATACAAGACAATATTACACCAAAACATGCTGGCGTTTGCTTGGCAGATGTTTAATTTACCTTGCTCAGCGTAGGGCTTACGGGGCTTCTTCCTCAGACAGGTCATGACGTAGCGCTCCAGCTCTTTCAGTGTCGATGGCTTTAGTGTTTCAAAGTCAATCTCAATCTCCTCGGGGTTGGTGTCCCTCAGTGAAGGCTCCCTGGACTGAATGATGTGGACCACGCGACCCAGCTTCTCCCCCGGCAGCTTGTTGATGTCGAGGCTCAACTGACGCTTCTCATCGTATGACATGGGCACAATCTCCTCCTCTTCCTCGGAGTCGTAGTGCGGCAGCATGGTAGGGGCCACTGGGGGGTAGAACGGCTTCTTTGTGGTCCTGCGGAAACAAGAGGAAGTGATACAGTCAGGACAAAAGCTCATTAATATCAGTTGCTTGATATTCTAAATAGGTAATATTGTAAAGGTTTAAAAACTCCACACTGATGTGAAGATCAGATCATTTGGTAATTATTATTACTACTAACTTGCTGTTCTTGTTACTCTTCTTCCCCTGGGCTTTCTTGGGCTGGGAGCCACCAGCTCTAGCAGACTTGCTTTTCAGTATCTTGCCAGGCATTTTCCATTCCTCAGAGCCAGCTCTGCTTCTGCCACCTCGACTTCGCTTCTCCAGCTTCTTCTTTTTCTTCTTCTCCTTTTTGTCCTTCTTCTCCTTCTTCTTCTTGGGCTTGATGATGGGGCCTTGGGAGAGGGCAGCTAGTTGCTCGTGCATGGCTCTGAGCTGTTAGAAATTACAGTTATAAAAATCGTTTTCACATGAAATCTGTCGTAATAAAAGAGAAATGAACTGTTAACTTACTTGTGTGCACACCTGGTCCTGTAACTCGGCCAAGCGATGTGCTCGCTCTTCCTCGCTGTCCGAGTTGGGGCTGCTCTCACTCTCTTCACTCTCACTGCTCGGCTCGCTCTCGGAGGTGGAGGAAGATGAGGACGAGGAGGAGGAAGAAGAGGAGGACGAGGATGTTGGATGGCCACTGATTGACATGGCTGTGTGATCCATATGTGGTTCATCTGGCATCTTGGCAAAACGGAACTCAAACACATCCTGGGGCACAAAAAAAAACAAAAAAACAAATCAAAAGAGTAAGAAAGGGAGAAGGGAGTAAAAAACAAACAATTAACTGTCACCTCACAGTCTGCTGCACTTTTATTTCAGTCCAATTATTTGAAAAGTAGAACAAGACAGCTAGGCTCACCTGCAGCTTCCGTGCCATGCCCACAACATCATGGTCAGGTGGATTGTACTTGTAGCAGTTGGAGAACATGAGTCTGACATCGCTGGCAAACTGTTGAGCGTCCCTGTATTCACGACAGTCCATCTTCCTCTGATGAAGACGTCAGGAAAGGACAATTTTAGTGCTTCAACCAGACAGAATGTTTTCTCAAACTGCATCAGGGTTTTTTTTTATAAATATTTCTTAATAATAGACGGTTTGCAATTTCTTACAGATTTTCAGCCCCATTGCTTGCTTCTGTGTTCGTCATCACAGTGTGTTACATTTTAAAAAGGGACAGTCTAACATTAAGAGATCTGAAACAACATAACTTTACTATCTAATCAGTAATGCAGCAGAAGCTATATTTATAGTCTATTGCACTTTCCCAGAGTTAAAAGCAGATGAGAAGTCACCTTGATGGTGCTGAGGTCCATGGGACACTTAATGATATCATGATAGTCATGAAGTCCCAGTGCTGCTGCATCCACCGGTGTGTAGAAAGGCCAGGCGTACGCAGCATGCTTCTTTGATAACATGTCCTTCAGCAGCCCACTGCAGTACCTCAGCTGAGGGCTTAGTTTGCCCTTCCTCGAGGGCTGAGACTGGACAGAATCAGGCAAGTCCTTCTTGGGGGGTTTAATGGGGCGTCCGCTGCCCACTCTGCGTCCAGTGCCTGCCATCATTGGCTGGAGCAGAACGGGACCTCCAGGGCTCCTGACCAAGCCCATCCCAGGTGGGGTCTCCAAGCTCATACCGCCCATGGATGAGATGGAGTGCATGGAGGTGTCATGGACTTGTCCCCCGTGGCCTCCTTTCCCTAAGCCTACCATGTGTGTTGCTCCTGACATGCCCACTGTCAAGCCCATGGTGGAGGGGGTGGTGGTGTCTGCCTTACGTTTGACACCTTTTTTCTAGAAATAAAAAAGGTTAGAAGTCACTATGAAAACAATATTTATTTATTTATTCCAATCCTTATAATGCTTACGGTTCAACACATGTTTTCTTACAACAAAAAGTACTGGTGTAATACTTTTGCCTTTTAAGATACGTACATGTATTAGCAACCATACCCCAGACATTTATGTTTTTGTAGAACATGTGTAGAGTAAGCTAAACCCTCACTTACTGGTCTTGCTCGTGCAGTAACAGACAACCACTTTAGCGTAGAGCCACTTCAAAGTAAGTACACACCTTAGTTGTGGGCTGTGTAGGAGGTAGGCCCATGATGTTGGCCGGAGGCAGGCTTTTAGTCAGCACCGTCTGCGGAGAGTTGGCCAGCATGGACTCCCCGGTGTCTGAGGAAGAAGGGGAGTAGGCAGACTGGGACACCGCTGGCACCTGCTGAGCCCTCGATGCTGAGAGATACAGTATATTCAACTTTAGGAATAGAACTCAGCTACTGTTAACGAAAGTTATGTCTGAATGTTTCTATGATCACTGGAGACATGCATGGCTTTTTTACGAGCATCATGAATGCTACTTTTACATAATACATTTCTACAACAGGAAGACATTTTGTATAAATGCTGAGCTGTAATTATTTTCCACAGAAAATGTCAATGCCAGATGCATTTACAAGACTGGACGTGTCCAATTTGTGCATTTATAACAAAACTTCCCAGTGACTCCATTATAAATAAACAAAAACAACTATATAAAAACAACTAAAATTCTGCAAGACTTTGTCACAAAGTCACCAGATTTGCGACCTCTTCCCCTGCTGTTCTTGCTTCTAGGAGCGGGTGGAGGCAGCTCAATTTCCTCCTGGGGCATCTGGGCCACCTTCTGGAGAAAGATCTTCTCTACAGACTGGGCCATCAGCACAATGTCGTCAGTCGGCTAGCCAAGAAAACCATTTATAAAAACACATTAGCAAACCACAAAGAAGCCAGGTGGTAAAAAAATGAATTATATTAATAACAAAAGTGAAAATAGCAATAAATGGATGAAACTGATGGTGATTCTAAGACAGAATCAATGTTTTTGGGATCCTCTACAACTACCACTTAAGACATCCTTGGCCAAGAGACTTAATTTTATACACACAAATGCTAAGTGGGACATGTATTCTAAAAAAAAAATTTTTTTAAATCACTGTTGCATGGTCATTGTAAGCATATGTGATGTACAACCAACGTTGTGATGTTTACATCTCTAGAGCAGTTTTTTGATTTGTAATAATTCTTTCGTAAAGGAGCTACACTGCATTTTCCAGAGGCAGCACCTTGTTTCTCAACAGTTGGAGGCCGTAGTCGTTTGTTTTCATGTCAACTTGACATTTTCATTTTCCAACTTGCCTCACTTTATGCTATAGCACATGAAAATATATACAGGTCAGCACATGTCTGTGCATTGGATAGGGGTAAGAAGTATCCCAGACAAGTTTCTGTTTGCAAAGTGTTAGATAGGCCTTTTTTCTCATGAAACAGAAAAGGTTTAAAATGAAAAGAAAAGTCCTGGACCTACACCTGAATCTTCAATATTAAATAATGGTTTTGTTAGGTCACTTAAAACAACAAACTAGGGTATGTTTGGGTATTTGGACATCTAGCCAACTGCCTAGAGCTTTATTATATAACCCTGTGTTATCTCTACTGTGAGGAAGGTCCACTTGATATTAAATGTAATCAGTTGAGTTGGGTCATCTTATAAAGGTAAGATTAAGAAATAAATGAAAAAGGGACAAACACACAATGGATAAAGATCTGTTTTTTACCTTTTAACCTACCTTGTTGTAGATGTAGCAGTTGGTGAACATTGTGTTGAAGTCCTGTATGCACTCACTTGCACTCCGGTAGAAGTTGTTCTCCAGACGTTTTTTGATGGTCCCCATGTCCATGGGCTGTTTGATAATTTTGTGGTAATCCTGAAATGGGCAGAGTTACAGACTTAAGAATGAGACACACAGAGATTTTATGGAAAAAATATACTTGTTTTTTTAACTTGTGGAGCAAGTTCAACATTGCAAAATAACAGAATTTAGTCTTAGTCTTAGTCTTAATCTAGTTGGGGGGGTTTTACTTTACCATCTGAGCCTAGGCATCCCCATGACTTACAGAAACATAAATAGAACTCAGCAAAACTAAAGTGAAAGTAGAAAGTGAAAGACTCTTTGTTGAACCCACTGGCAGGTTAAGCCTGTAGGCATCCACAGGCTCATGGAAAGGCCAGGCAAAGTGATGCCTCCATAGAGACTTCATAAGCGTCCTCTGGAGAAATTGCAGCTGGTTGGTCATGCGGCCTGGCCGGCTGGGATCCTTCACTGGGGGTTGCGGTGGGACAGGGGGTCCCTGGGGCATCGTGTGCGGCAGAGATGGGCTCTCAAAGTCCTCGTACAGCAAGGAGGGCTTGCGAATGCGTTTGCCCGAACTGCTGTGTTGATCCATCCCACCACTGGACAACCCGACCAGAGAGCTGAAGAGTAAGAGACAGTATGAGGATCGAGAAGGAAGAAAAAAAAAAAAAAAAAAAAAAAGAGAGTCTGATGGAATGATAAAGAATAATTGCAGGACCAGAAATGTTACCTTTTCCCTCACTTCTGTAAACTATATAAAAGATTTATTAAAAAAGGGGACCAGTAAACTCTCTGTGTGTGAATAGAAAGACAAGCAAGGTCCACAGAGAGAGAAAGACAGAAGCTTATGTTCTACCTGTATTTGCTATTTTTGTTCATAATTGCTAAATTGAATGGCCTTGATTGCTTTAATTCTTGTCATAATAAAATGTAAACTTTTTGATTTTTGCTGCAAATTGTTTAAATGAAACAATTATGCCAATAAAGCACACTGAACTGAACTGAACTGGGAGAGAAAGCAAGAGAGATGCTCACTAGTGAAGGAACTGGCACTTCTAAGTTGACTGTGCTGTATGACCTTTGCAACTCCATTGATGCAGCCATCAATTCATCGATTTGCTTCCCACCACAATGCACGCATGCACTCATGGGAAATCTGCTCATGTCAAAAAGTGCAGCCTATACACGCTTCATTCACGTCACCCACAACCAGTGAAACTCCCGGTCAGCCAACGGTCATCTAGGGAACTAGGATTCTATCAAAAGGCTGCTACTTTTAGCAAAGTCATGGGAACCACCATCGCATGGATCCTCACCAGCTAAAAAAGCAAACATTCACTTACAGTAAGGCCCTAAAATCACATTTAACTCCACATAAATATAGGACGCAGCTTTTGTGCTAACTTTCAGCTCGTACTGATTTAGCACTAATTCCAAGCCTGAAATTGGAAGTTCAATTGAATGTCTGACACTCACTATGCTGAATGAGTTTTATTATTGTACACTGAATATTACAGCAACTTTTCTTTTGTTTATTTTTGTAAATTGCAAGGATGCACAACCAAAACAAAATAGTAGTAACCTTGCACACAGCAAATGGCCAAAACTCAGAGCTCTGGTTTCCACCTATTACAAAGGGAATGAATGGCATGAAAACTCATGCCAATGCCCTTGACTGTGGTCCCAAATTCTGAGCAATACAGCTGCCCACTACTCCTACAGTTACTATTAAGAATTGGTTTAAATGCAGAGAACATTGAAAGACGTTGCAGATCTTACAATGCTCTACAATTTACAGGCATCTTCAGTCTTGGCTGTGGTTCAATAAACTACACAGACCATGTCTTAAATAATAATAATAATATTAATCTTTATTTGTAGAGCACTTTTCAAAAACAAGTTACAAAGTGCTTTAACAAGTGTAAAGACAATAATACCCCAAAAAACAAAACAATACAAGATAAAAGCAAGAAAACATTGAAAAGACTAAAATACACATTTAAAATAAATATAAAATAAGTAAAATTGAATAAAATAAAAGGGATAAAATAAAGTCAAATAAGTTCGGGAAAGGCTCTCCTATAAAAGTATGTTTTAAGAAGGGACTTAAAAGAGTTCACTGACTCAGCCGACCTGATTTCCTCGAGCAGGCTGTTCCAGAGCCTCGGGGCCCTGACAGCAAACGCTCTGTCCCCTTTAGTTTTCAGTCGAGACTCTGGAACAGACAGCAGACCTCTGCCCGAGGATCTCAAGGTACGTGCTGGTGCGTATGGGACTAAAAGGTCAGAAATATAACAAGGCGAGAGGCCATGAAGAGCTTTAAAAGTGATCAATAAAATTTTAAAGTCAATTCTAAAACATACTGGGAGCCAGTGTAATGAAGCTAAAATAGGGGTGATGTGGTCATATTTCTTGTTCTGGTTAAAAGCCTGGCAGCTGAGTTCTGGACAGTCTGGAGTCGATCAATAGATTTTTGGTTTAAACAAGTGAAAAAGGCTGTTGCAGTAATCCAGGCGTGATGAGATGAAGGCGTGTAAAATGGTCTCGGTGTCCTTAAAAGTTAACATAGATCGAATTTTTGCTATATTTCTAAGTTGATAAAAACATGATTGAACAAGCTTTGTGGTGTGCATATAGACCCGAGAAGTCTCTCAGACAATGTACTCAAATATAGACATCATGGCACTTCAAGCTCCATCATCCCTTTTTCACTTCCCTCTAAGCAAAGCACATGAACCAGATTTAGAAGAAGTTAAATCTTACCCCAGGGTTCAAGACACACACCTGCCCCACTGACACACAAACTCTGGCAAATCCCGTGAGCTTATTTTCTACATCAGTCAGAATCCCAGCAACACAAACAACAACAACAACTGAAGCACATTAGCACTGAGGAAAAACATCAGCCACTGTGTCCTGAATACAATATAAACTTCCCATCAAACATATCTGAGCACCGTTTGTTTTAGTGTTTTGGAATACGGTATTAATCAAGTCATGTAATTGTGAATTAATTGAAATAATAGGTTCAAGTGACTTGAAATGTTTGGTGATCTTTTTTACCTAACTCTTGATCACTGCAGTTATGCACCAAAGCCGAAGCACAAAACAGCCATCATGAGGGAGGGACAAATCTCAGCTCCTCGCAGAGGAAAGGTAATGTTTGCTTACTGTTCAGAATGAGTGTGTTACAGCAAATCTGCCAAAACATGATTTTGTTTAACTTTTGAAGCACAGATTTGTATGCTGATTAAAAAAGGCTCTTGCAAAAATTTGACACACACAATGCTTGATTGCTGTCCTCTATGGAATTATGAATATCTACATTATGTCTAATTTAATATAAAGTCATTAACAAACTTACACTAAAATGCAATCTATTAAGTCACATCATATGAGCATAACTGTGATACTAAAATAATCTTGTGTCTTCATTGTAGGATCTACTGTTTTATTATTAACTAGTAAACACTAGTACAGCTCTATTTGACTAATGTGTGGTCTACAATGTTGTTGTTTTGGTTACATACATTGTTTAAGGTGTTTTCTGCATACTATAGTCTATGTCTGATTTTTGATTATATAAGTAAGCATGCATAATCCAGTCACATTCTTCCTATGTGTGCACACACCTGGCAAACAAAGATGATGTTTCTGATTCTGCTTGGTGTGGCTTTGCTGCTTCAATCTGCATTTAATTCTGCTTCTACTGAAAGGCGTTAGTACACGCACAGCAGAACCAAGAAACTGTCTTCACCATTTACTCAAAACAATGAAAAGAAAAGTCAGACTTTTAGATTTTCATTCCAACAGCTGGTGATCGCGTGGTTTGGACGCCCCGCCCTCACTGTTTGTAAACACTACCTCACAATGACAGAAAACGAAAGACAGAAAGCGGTTTTCTGTCAAAGAAAGCAAAAGCACGAATTCTTTATTTACCCTTGCTGCTGTAGGAAAGGTAAAACTACTGAGCTGTCAGTCGATCTCAGTTATTTTGCCACAGCATACAGACGTTTATAAGTAAGTTAACAGAGTGCTAGCTAAGCGTCACCGCACTGCAACAATACCTGACATCTCTAACGGTTCATTTAGGGATGACACCTTTTTGATTAGCAAATGTTGCGTGTGAAGATCACATTGTACAGGATATTTTATTACCTGATGCTGTCTTTTGTGATTGTCACCTAGGCTGCGAGATTAGCGTTAGCAGAGTGTCTGAGAGCGATGAATGACCCGACTGACAGAAAGCCGGCGGGGAGCAGACGGTGGGGCTGCAGCTGTCATCTGCCTTCTTTGTGCCAGCTCAAAACTGATGCTATAAAGCTAAGAAATTATATAAAAGGAAAGGCGAGCCTAACTTATACATGTAGTTGCAATATACTAGAAGTTATGCAAGTCACGATGACATTATCTGATGTAAAAAGCTAGCTAAAGCCGTGTCTCAAGCCAAGGCAACCGTTCGCTGACAAGCTAACGTTAACGTTAGTGTATTATTGGGAGGCTAACGGTCACAGTAACGTAGCTAACGATATATGATGACATTTAACGTTAGTCCACCTTTGTTGACACAACAAGGCCGATCAAATTTACTCAGTGCAAGTAGGTAACGATAAGCATCCCTATGGACTTTACCTGTCGTGAGGCAGGTTGACGGCCGCTTCCATCGGGCTGAAGGCGGAGTGTTATTACAATCCAATTTTTCCACCACTGTTCACGCTGCACTTGCGCTGGAAGACCACTGAGCAACTCCGCAATGAAATGGCGCCTACCCGCTTCCGCTTGACCCTATATAAACCTACCACGTGGCAGTACCGCGTATTTCCTGTCACGTGGGTTGTGATTCTGCGCTCTTATTGGCTATCACCAGGCGTCTGTAAAACAAAACACACACGCCCACACTTCCAGGTCGGTGTTTTTGTGTACACTTAATAGTCGGTACATCATGTTCTGTCATGTTTTAAACTTGAACGCAATAGTAGCACTGTGCTGGATTTAGCTTCAGTTTTTAGATTTTCGCTTTAAAGTTTTCACAATTACGACTTTACAGACGAATGTCCTTCTGTCTGCAGGGCATGATGATATGACGTGTTTCTCTGCAGTATGGGTAGCCTAGTTGATTCTGGTCTTCTCTGTCTTATGAAACCCAGTTATTAGCCTACCTAGGTGGTAAATGTTAGTATTTATATGGGCATTTGGATTACTGGCAATGATTCTAGCCAGGAGTATGTGTGAGCAGTGAGTGGGCTGAACATGCTTTTCATGCAATATGCTGATCCTAAAGAGCCTGATACACACAAGTGTTTTCTACCCAGAAAGCATTGAGAATCATTCATTTAGGAAAGTCAGTGGTTAATTCTGTGATTTGACAAAGTATAACTAATTAACTAACTGCAGTCACACCCAGTTATCAGACACAATGTTTAAAGGGGTGATATTTATTTCTGCCAAGTAACGTTCAGTTTTTAAAAAGAATAATCAAAAAAGTACGAGATCCTGTGTTTGAATCCCTATGGGTCAAGCTTCAAAAACGTTGGAGCCTACAATTCCCATAAAGTAATGCAACGCAATAGCATCTTTAAAAAATACCTGCCTTCAGGTAAATGCCTACTTCTATAACTGTTAGAAGCATCAAGCCCAGGCACCTTTAAGTCAAGCAAAATCAAGCATAAATGGCAGACAAGAAAGGATGAATTCAAAAGATTTATTGTCATAACTCTGGGGAGGGAAACGGAGTACAAACAGACTCAGCAATACAGGCGAAAATAAAACAAAGAGAAATGTGAAAAATATTTACAACTACAATGTTTAGAACCACTCAATCTAATACATTACAATGTGGAATACCTGAAATCTAGCTGAAAGATGGTTTCTACATCATGAACTCACACCAATTGACATATGGGAGCTGCTCAGTAGGACTTACAGTTGGATCACAGAGGGTTGCCACGGGACGATTCAAATTTATATAAGAGTAATAATAATTAGAAGAGACCATTGTGGCCAATGTTGCAAATGAATCCACAGGGATTAATATTTGCATGTAAGTGCAGAAATACCTATATATGTAATATATATTTCCAAAATATATTATATACATCAATATTGCAATATAAATTTAAAATGTACCACGATGCAGTATTTTATTGATATCTCCAAAAGGTCTCAACACAGTCCCGGTTTATATAGTTAACCTTGTTTGGAGTAAAGCCGCAGGTGTCATCAATCCTAAGCTAAATCAGAGCATCTAACTTATTTGAGAAGCTAAAATTTGAATTCTGTTTCCTCTGGAGAGTTTCCTCTGTCCTGTCACAGACAACATACAATCACCTGGAGACATGTGCCTGGCGCATTGACAAATTATCCCGAGGTTAAACTAACAAATTTGGAGTTGGACGTGCACCAAAAGCAACTGCATACTGTGCTTAGATAGTTAAAATAGGGCCCTTAGATGCCTAACTCAGAGGCCACTGACTGAAAGGTACTTGTATTCTCCTGACAGTCTAGAATTCAAGAATAGGGATTACAATTACAACTTAATAGTTAACTTAAAAGATAAATAGTCTCAATAGGTAAAAACTCAAACACTTGTAGAATGAGGTGTGGTCTCACAAGAATGTATTTACAGTACAAGTTAGGTGTGGGCGATATTACAATATTAGATCGTGAATGATTAAAATGTCTCAACGATCTGCCTTTTCAAAGAGATAGTTAGTATCGTGCTACAATACACAATCTATCAGTTTCTTCTGTGGCTACACACGCAGTTGACAGCTGCTCTGTCAACATCGCATGTCAGCTGCCTCGCTGCCTGCGCCCTTCGCTGTCTACAAAGGCAACACTGTAACTGTTGGCCATTATAAAATTAACATTTAAGTTCCCCGTATCCCCAGCTGCTTTGCCTCAACTCTCTGTGAGTTACGGAGTTTGCTGATAAACAGAAAGTGTTACTTGTTGCTAAAGTTAACTAGTTGCTGTTACCTAATTAGCTCAGTTAGCCTAGTGGTCACAGCTGACTGGCGCCGCATCGGGCACCAGAACAAGCCGAGCGAACAAGGCAACTAAACTCAGCAGCCTCCCGGTAAACACGGCATGAACGGGACCGAACCCAGAGACCAACAAGGAATATAGTACTGAGGTGATTTACAGAGTTTCTTGATGAATATATACATTTACTTTTTGCTAAAAACTCAGTTCACCGTGCTGCTAGCTGCCCTATTAGCTGAGTTAGCCCCAGGGTGCCAAGAGCCAAACCCAGCAAGAAAACCCTCGGTCCTGTACTCCGTGTCGTCAAACTGGCCTCTGTCGGTCTCAGAGGGTGTGTTGGGTCCCGGTCCGGCCACAGTGTTCACTCACTGAGAGTCAACCAGGCTGCACAGAGCACAGAGTCTGCATGACGGGGTAGGGGCGTAAAACACATTCAAGCGATTGTTTATTGTAATCGCCAATCAATATTTGAAACTAGTCCCTCCCTAGCTTTGTGTTTTTATGCAGAAGCAAATATCACATTAAAGGCAAAATCAAATCAAAAATGTTTATATTAAAATCTTTAAAATGTTATAAGAACAAAATCAATCAATTCTTTTTTAAATGAACGTTGGTCTTAAAAACCAAAATGAAAATGAATCGTGATAAGATTGTGAATCGTGATCCTGGCTGAAATAAATCGTGGTGATATTTTTGCCATATCGACCACCCCAAGTACTGATGGAGTTTTGACCATTCAAGTCCAGAAATTTAACCAACAACCTTCCTGTAACAACGGCCACACATATCAGTGTGTATCATTCTTCTTCTCCTCTTGGCGGTGAAAGCCCATATTCTGCTTTCTCACCAGGTCAGCATAAAGGCCACCTTTCTTCAGCAGCTCATCGTGACAGCCCTCCTCCTTTACCATCCCGTCGTTAAGGACAATTATATGATTGGCCTTCTCTACAACACTCATCTTGTTCGATATCAGTAGCACGGTCCATTTGTTGATTTGGTTTAACAAAGCTTGGTGAACCTGTTGAGTACAATCATGACTTGGTATTACATGTGGAATAGTAAACAAAGAGCACATTTTGAGAAATTCAAGAGTTTCCTACCTGGTATTCATTCTCTGGGTCCAAATCACTGGTGGCATTGTCCAGTATCAAGATTTTAGGACATCTGATTAAAGCTCTGGCAATGGCAATACGCTGCTTCTGGCCTCCGGACACCTGGCCTCCCTTCTCCCCAGCATCTGTCCCACAGAAGGAAATGCTGTTATTGTGCTTATGTATCTAGTTAAGTATCTTTTGCATTAGGTAAAACCACATGGCCAAAGTGCTGTTGTTTGCAAGCGTGCTTAATTAAATTCATCTGTCCTTTCACTACTGTCAGCAGGGTTTCTGTTATATTTAAGACTGTTTAAGACCTTTTTAATACAACATAGAATGCAATTTATTGCCTGATTCATAGTCATACCAAACAAAGGATGAAGGAAAATATTATAAATATATATTATATATTTACATTTCAATACTGCCAGCAGTAAATAACAATAATTCCTCTTTATGTAAACAATAAAATTAAAGCGTCCTGGGTAACTGGATACATTACCTATTGACAAGCTACTGTAGTTACCAGTAATACTTTTTTTGAGGAATCTAGATTCTATAGTTTCAAGACCCACTGATGCCCCGGTACCCAGACAGCCTGAAGGAATAAGTTTTCCCACTGCTGAGAAATGTACCATAGCAGGCATTCATTCCATCATTGTACTAAAAGTAATTCAACATTTTTCCTAGGGAATAACAAAACCCCCTGTGAAGAACCGCGGATTCGCTCTACCATATGCTGGGTTTGTGGGTCGAACCTGTGTCGTATCCATTTGACAGATCCCTGATGAAATCGTCGGCCCTAGCCAGCTGGGCCGCCCTATACATCTCTTCATCAGAGGCGTCCTCGTAGCCATACTTGATGTTCTCCCGCACAGAGCGAGCAAACAGCCTACAATCTTGGCTCACCACAGCAATCTATTAAGAAACAGGATTAAGAGGAAACACCAGTGAGTGCGTAACTGTTAACTGTGAGAATTGTTTACAATGAGGGCAACAGCAGAATAAAAATAGTTTTAGTTAAGTGCCTTTGCAATAGTCCTGTGACCAATGACCAGTGTGTGATAACACAAAAGATGTGTTAGGTGAAAGATAAAACAGGAGCAAAGGAGTGAAATTAAAGAGACATTCAGAGTAGAAACTTTCAATGAACGGTGGTTCACCTTTCTTCTATCATTATCGTTGTGCCGCTTGGGGCAAATTTAATTTCCGTTTTATGGTCTTAGCTGCAGAATTCACGTATGTATTTGTCATCTTGAATTTTAGTCAATTTTTGTGGTACAATGACTTGATAAACCCCTAAGGTGTCAGTACTGCCCCCGCACAGGTTGTTCAAAAAAAGAGTACCGTAATTAAGCTTCTTGATTCCCAGTAATTCCCCAAAAAATGGGCTGGATAGAGGATGTCAACTGAGGTCAGAGTTAGCATTACACTTCATTGCTTTAAGGCAACAGATTAACAGCTTCTGTGGACCATTTCTGTGACTTTGTAGCCGTTCTGACCCCTAGTGGCCACAAATCCTTTAATTTAGCTTTAAATGTGCCCTGTGGACTTTTCTTATAAACAAATAAGTTATGTTTACATTCAGCATCGCATGCATGTTATTATTGCAATCAGTGCTTGTGAAATTAGATGAAGATGTCAGCTAAATGCTTCAAAAATTCATATACAAAATGGAAAAAATGTCTTGTGACAACCCACCTTGTCATGTAAATACTTGTCTTTGTAGCTTTGCAGTGGTTTCCCATCCAGTAGGATCTCCCCTGCTTGGGGCTGGTAAAATCTCTCCAGCAGCTTGACACAGGTGGACTTCCCTGATCTGTTAAGCCCCACAAGGGCGGTGATTTGGCCTGCCTTTAGCTGCAGAGACACGTCCTGGTACAAGAGAGAGGAATAAGGTGAATTGGTCAAGAGTTGTGTTAGTTAGTGTGTTAAATTAGTTAAATTTTAAATCTAATAAAAGCACTGGAGGTAAACATACATACATACCTTGAGTACAAGATTATTCTCGTCTGTCCTGCCAGAATAAGAAAATTTAACATTTTTGAATTGAATGTTTCCCTCAAGATTTTCGGGTTCCAATGTGCCCTCTGGGGGTACTTCAGGTTTGCGATCCAAATATTCAAAGATCTTCTCAGAGGCACCAACTGCCTTCTTCACCTCTGGGTAATAACGCATGACAGCCTGGAAAAGAGGTGGTAAAATGAGGAACCTTTTAAATACAAACTAAATTACGTGTTCTTTTAAACAAAAGAATCTGCCAACTGTAACTCTGCAGTAGGGGAAACAAGTGCAATATGAACTCAGCAAAAAAAAAAACGTCCCTTTCTTCTTTTTATGCTCACACAAATATTTACACATGTTGAGTTTGCTAAAAATAAAAGCTATTGAAAGTGAGAGGATCTTTCTTTTTTGCAGAGTTTATATGTGTGTGTATATATATATATATATATATATATATATATACATTCAAGCTTATTCCCTTTATCTTGGCCTGTGGCTCACCTCAACAGCAGAGGCAAACTGTAGTTCATAGAGGACGAATGAAACCAGGTCTCCACTGCTAACAGTCCCCCTAGTCACGAGAGTCCCTCCATAGTAAAGAATACACACCTTCAGGGCCAAAGTAGTCATCTAGAACAAAACAATGGTTCACACATTAAAGAAACTGTGTTAAATGATATTCAATTGTGCATGTATTTTATTACAGTTTCTGGCTGTACACTTCTGGCACACACATTTTTTAACCTTGATATAACCAAGAGAGGCTCATTGATATTAAAAATCTCCTTTCCAAGAGCGTCCTGGCCAAGATAGGCTGCCGCAAGTTGTTATAACCGAAATGCTAGAGTGATACACACATCTTCAGGCTTTAAAATATCCTGTCAGCAACGTCTAGGTGAACTTGCAGACACTACATGCAGATTTGCTATGTTCTCTACGTTATCCCCCACTGTCTCATACTTACAAACATATGATAAGAAATCAATGCACACTTTATAACCCAGTTCAGTATTCAACTTACACTGTTAGCCCAGGTAGAGGCTGCATAGGCTGCTGCTTCCTTTTTATTAAGGGCATATGTATCCTCCAGCCGCAGTCTGTACCTCTCTGTCTCACCATCCTCGTTGGCAAAACTTCTCACTGTCTTCATGCAGGAGAAGGTCTCTGTGGCCACCTGGTTGGCCTTAGCCAGTGACTCCTGGACCTTTGCAGCAATTGTCTGAAACATGGATAAAATAAAAAATAATTACTGAATTTGAATTTGTGACAATTTGATATTTTACAAACGTGACTGATGAACACGATCATAGCGGCACTGGAAATATTGTGACAAACATGATGTCACATTGTCTACAACGTACAACAGCTATTTAGTCTATCAGCATCCAATGCCTGGGGTTATTTAACCTGAAATCTTTTTTTTGGTCAGCACAACAAGCTGTTAGCACAATGCTGACATTTACCATCTTATAAAGCAGCCCACAGTTAAACCACAGCAATTAGCTTAAAGATGCTAAAATGTTACTTAGCGCTGAAGGGAATTCTCTGCAGGTTCATCACTTCCAGCAACCCTTTTCAATTTGCACACAGTGTTTTCATCTACTGTTAATATAAAATACTGATTATAAACTAAAGAATGTGGGACATTTAGGGAACCCCGCTTTACCTGGTGGAAGTGTCCCGTGAGCTCAGGTATGACCCAGATGATGGGCAGTCCCATGCAAGTCAGCAGAGACATTTTCCATGACTGGCTCACCATGAAGAATAAGAGGAAGCCAAAACGTGCTGTGTACCACATCGCAAGACTTAGTTTCTCACTCAGTGCCTCGCTCATATCGTTGGTATCCGTGGTAATGCGGGACACCAGTTCACCTGAAAAAAGAGTTGTGATTCAGCCTTGCCGAAGAAATTACATGTATGTGTATGTAATGAATATGTTGTTAAAATGTTGTATATTCTGGATCTCCAACAGCCCACACAATTAATGTCAAGTTTATCTTTTAGGAAGTTCAGAACAATAAGAAAACTGAGCTTGGCCTTGATATAAATGTAAACCGTGTACCAGAAGTGCAAAAAAAAAAAAAGGTTTAGGACCTACTGTATATGGTACTCTTTCCTTTAAAAAAGACTTTGTGCTCCGTCAGTTGTATGTAAAATATACAAAGGATTTACCTGTCTTAGTGGCCTCAAAGAAAGCTATCTCCTGTTTCAGCACAGCCTCGAAGACGGATCCCTGCACTGAGGTGTGTATGTGGCTCATGGTGACGTTGTACGTGAGGTCACATATAAATTCAAGCACAGCACTGAAACATACAACAGAGGCCGCATTACAGTGTAAAGTACCCAAAATTACACTACAAGGATTTTATTACACTACCACATCTACTTTAAATTATTAAATGTATTTTTTTTATTCAATTGAATAGTTAAATGTGTGTACAAATATTCAAAACAAATCATCACCTAAATTCCTTCTCTAAACCCAGAGTTCGGTGTTATTATCTGCATAAATTGTCATTTAAAATAATATAAAATAAAGCACATAAAATCAAACGGTACCACTAGAGTTGGGGTTTGATAACATTTATTGAAGCTGGATTAAATATGACTCCAGCATCAAAACTACAAAATTGATGGTTTGTGAGATAGAAGACTCTGAGCTTAACAAATTCAAGTGTTACTTTAACTACTTCATTAAAAAGGTTACATTACCTGGCAATAGTCATTAGCGTCATGATTGTGATAGCCTCTGTGAATGCATCAGGTGCCTCTTCATTTATGATCCAGTCAGCCACACGACCAGTGTACTGAGGAATAGCCATCTCACCTGAGAAGTTCACATTATCACAATATTGATCTTTGGGGGGCAAAGGTGTCAAGCTAACTGCTCTTAGATCAACATAAACAGTCATCAGAGTCAGTGGAGTGGTGAACTATTGATGGCCTATGGCCTACTGAAGCTACCATTTATACATAACTATCTTTATTTGCCTACTAGTGTGATTTAATATACTGAATTAGGTTACCTACAGAGTAGCCATAAAAAAATCATATATATTTTGAGGTGGCAGCTGGAATGAAACTGCCAAAACTAAGTATTTAATTTGTGCAAACAAATTAACCAAAACATGGGAACTAATTGTATCTCGTGTGCATGCAATAGCATAGCACAGTCATAGATGTAGTTAAATGTGACATCATTATGTGTATTTTTTCTCTCTATGGGACAATTTTCAGCTCTGCTTGAAAAATAGCTCATTCCACAGTTGAGGCAAACAGTAAGCTCTGAATAAGCTCTACTAGAATAATCCCATTTAATTAACACAACGTACTTTGTGAGTGAGGGTGCAAACAACAGATCAAGAACTGCTGGAAATAACTCTAAATCTCTGTAGTTTCTCTTGCTTACCATAAGAAGAGAGGACCACGAGAAACAGCACAGCAACAAAGCGCCCAAGATACGGCTGCATGTAACCCATCAGTCTCTTCAGAGAGGTACTGGTGTCCTCTCTGGGCTTGTCAGAGGGCACCCTCGTGAACAGAGATGAGATGTATCGACCACAGGTGAGCAAAAGAGATGACACATATCTACTCCAGTAGAGCCATGCCACTACTGTCACCACATAACCCTGTAACACCTGCAAAACAAATTTAAAACAAAATTATTAAATGAAATAAATCATTAAATGCTTCAGGTGATTCTGAAAAATGTTAAAAGCAAAAGCAAAAACGTTTCTGAAATGGTGGATTTCTTGCTCTCCTCAGACTGGTTTGGTTTTGGTTTCAGTCTCATTCCTGTTCCAGGCTCAACAGCGTCATTCCAAAAAATAATAACCATACCAAGAATTTTGATTCTTGCTGTGAGAGGTTATAAGATATTTATTTACAGCAAATGCAATATATGTTTCACTGAAGTGAGTCCATTCTACTTCTTTCTAAAACAAATTAAATGTTTGCTCAAATGTTTGTTTAAATATTGCTTTCAATGAAGATTCATTCAACATTTCACAATGTTGTCCTCAAGAACACTAAATAGGGGAAGCTATACTGTAAAAATATTAAAAAAACATATCCAGCTAGCAGATTAACTATATACTAAATAAATGTATATGTTTTTAAATGCAAAGACTGGATACTTTATTTCATGCCACTACTAAATGAATACTTTGTTTTTTGTTTGCTGAAAAAGCCAGAGTAGGACATTTTTAAACACTTTATGGGCATCTGGCTTTATTTTAGGCCTAAAGGTAAAGGTGGTCAACCAGTAATCTAACGGTTGTAAACAATGTATAAATAGGCTACTTCATTATAAGTAAAATGTCTCTATTAAGTTAAAAGTACATACGTATTTACAGCAAAATTTAAAGTAAACTTTGCTGTAAAAGTAAAAGTAAATGTACTTTTAATTCAGTAGAATACCCATGTTGGTATTTGATTATTATTATTATTATTCATTTTAATGTTGTAGCTGGTGGATGTGGAGCTAATTTCTACTACATTACATTTCTGAGTATTTGTATACAGTATACAGGGCTATTATTGCTTATCAGATATTTTGTATATAAAACGTTAATCTGCAAATGCATAGTAGAGTACAGCATATCCATCCATCCATCGTCAACTGCTTATCCTGCATACAGGGTCGCGGGGGGCTGGAGGCAATCCCAGCTGACACCGGGCGAAAGGCGGGGTACACCCTGGACAGGTCGCCAATCCATCGCAGGGCCACACATAGACAAACAATGTTGTGTAGTAAAAAGTTGAATATTTCCCTCCGAAAGGTGGTAGAGTAAAAGTATGCATTAACATTAAAATGGAGATACTCAGGTAGAGTATAAGCGCCTCAAAATTGTTTTAGGTACAGTACTTGAGTAAACTTCAGTAAGCTAGTTAGTTACATTCCACCACTGGCATCTACACACATCATCTCTGGTAAGTTCCCTTGAGCAAGGAACTTTAGCCACTTCCACACCATCATTTTTAAGGCACCCATGGTTATTTATCATTTCTTTTCCAGGTTTAGACAAAAACACATTTTGGCTATAGAACTTCCCAGCGTCTGAAATTAAAATCTAGCAATTATTTCCACCAGCACGCAAACACACTATGGTGAGGGAACCACAATGCATCATGGGCCCAGCTCTGTCACCCTTACAACATACACCTACAAAGGCGTCTGCTACTGTATCTATGTAAGCCAACCTGCATCCAACCGTGGATTCAAACACACCAGTATTACAACCAGGAAACACAGCCACCCACCCTTTGCCAGGAGTGCCACCCCCACAGTTCCTCCATGGTGGACTGTCCAAGCGCACAGAGAAGAGTGGTGTACACTGGGAAGTGGAAGCAAAGGACCCCTAAGCTCTGTAGACCCTTGAAGCTCCTCATCCAGGGCATGCTTCCAGGGTAGGTGAGGGTGAGGAGGGTGAGGAGGCCAGCCCTGGTCAACCCTCCTCCCCACAGGGTGATGAACGGATGGGAGAGGAGCAGAGGTGAGAGCTGGGCCAAGCGGATGGCGTGCACCACACACACATCCAGGCACACGAACAGCAGAGGGAAGAAGTAGCTCATTTTCTGCATAATGGTTAGACTCTGTAAATACAGTGACAAGAGAGGGTCAGTCACACACACAGTCATGTTTCACGTGTGGGGCTAACAGACGCCTCCAAAACAGGAATGAGGCACATTACTTATAAAGAGGAACACGTAGAACACAAAGCTAAAGTTTTAGCCTGCTTATCAATTTGTTAGTATCTAAACTAGGCCAACAATATGCCCTTCGTTGATAATAATTTACTTTCACTTTGCTGCAGGTCTTCTGCATTACTTTCATTTCCATCTACACTGCTGATTTCTTTGAAACAGTTTGACAGTTACAAACCGACATAAACACGAAACGATTTTGCAAAACACTCAAAAATGCAATAGTTATTACTACAGTATCACTCAGTAATGTAACGTTATGCCAGCACAGTTTAACGTTAGCTAACTTATTAGCCTTACAAAATCCAACTTACATTTACCTTTGATGTGCCAACTTCGATGTGGCGGATGTTTAATATTCGCCTGAGAACGTAAAACGAGACCAATATTTCCCCTAACAGACTAGAACTGGCAATTTAACTATTTCCAACCGGCTGCCTGAAGCCTACAAAACGTCGACCGTGGTTCGACTGTCAAACTGAAACCGAAAGTAACTATTTATATTCTTTTTACAGCGGAAAGTCCCTTTGTCTGTCACGATGACAGACGAATACGAGCAAGGTATGTAACACACTTTGCTGTAAGTAGTAGGCTATTATTCAAAGTACTACGATTATCCAGAGATACCCAGATCCATATCGTCTTGTTGCAGCCTACAGTGGTAATATAATATGCCTGGTTTGAAGCTAGACCATCTCCAAACAGTCCGACAGTGACATCATGTGACGAGAAGCTGCCACTCTTTATTACCTCTATCCCCACATCAACGTGTCTATCAGTCCTACAGTAATATTTTTATAATGGGTATTAAGAGTGGTGGAAAAAGTATTCAGATCCTTTGTTTATGTAAAAGTACTAATACCACACTGTGAAAATACTGCAATACTAGTAAGTCCGGCATTCAAAGCATTACTAAGTCAAATGTATGTAAATATTATCAGTAAAATGTAAAAACTCAAAAGTAAAACTACTCAGTATGCAGTAAAATAGTCTCTGTCAATGTGTTACTATTATATGTGATGTTTTGAATTAATATTACGTGTGTAGCCTATTAATGTGTATGTTGCATTTTACTGATTACATTTTTGAGATTGTCCTCATTTTAACTACTTTATATAGGTTATATTTTAAGCGCCGTTGTCCTGTGAGAAAACATTTTTAGTCCTGTTTTCAGCTTTGTGAGGATGCCTTTTTCCAGTGGATCCAAGGGGTTTTTTAATTGTATATTTAGCATATTAAGGAGTTTATCAGAAAATTTGGAGATATGTGGTTCTCACTGGACAGGACAGGTGTCCGTAAAGTGGAGTACACAGTTGGCTATATGTCTTTACTTAGATCTTTTAATAAAGATTTATTGGTTTATTTATTGCAATCTTACTATGTAAACCATTCATTGTACAATGATTAATTCTATCTTTAGTTTTCAGTGAAAACAGGTTTGTTAACCCCTTGGATGTAAGCTTATTATTTATATAGTTACATTGCTTATTGCTGTTAGCCTTGCTTGTTGTCCTTGGACGTTTGTATTGTTAATGTAATGTGAGTAATATAAGTTATATCTACGTGTCTGTCTGTCAGTTATCGTAGGCTGGACACAGAACAGGAATTGAAAAATGATGCAAAAGATTTTGCAGAATACCTGGGTTATGTAGCTTGTTTGCAATTAATTAATCTACCAAAAAAATAATTGACAAGCAATGAATCTTTTGTTGCCCCCTGAGGGTGCATGGCCCCAAGACAGTTGCCCTCTCTCCCTTGTTGGTTATCTTTGCCTTGTGATGTGACCTATTATGACAACTGAGGGAAAGAAACCCCCAGTAGAAACTTTGAACTCCCTGATAGCTTCCTTCCTTCCCCCTGCTTTCATGTTAGAAGGATGGGTTGTGCAAAGCTATAAATGTTCTTACTGTTTTAAGCAGAGTGTTTGCAAGACCCTATAAATCACTTGTACTTAGAATATGTTTCCTTTTGTGCATACAAAATACTTAATTAAACTATTTAATACCTAATACTTAATTGTGAAAGGAAAGCCTATTTTAATAATATAGTGTATACTTGCAATAGAAAAGGGCCTTTGTCACATTTCAGAAGTCTATGAGTTGTTTCACAAAACAGTCATTTCCTCTGTAAACATCTGAGATGGTGTCATTTAAATAACAGTTTGAGACCATTTCACAAAAAGCAAAGATGAAAGAAAAGTTTGAAAGATGAATACACAATTGTGCAGCAGAACTCAGCCCCATTAATCATGTCTGGCCCCCACAGATTTATCTTGGAACCATTGGATTAACGTACCTATCTGTATATAATGTAGCTCAATGAGCTAAAACAGTAAAATCCTTCAGTATGGATGCATCAGTATTGACAATCAAATGATATATTAGCCTATAATATAATATGTCAGGCAATTTTTCAGCATAACAAGTACTTCAAACATTTTGCTGATAATACTTGTGTACTTTTACAAAAGTAAATTTTAAATGCAGGACTAGTAAATGGAGTATTATTAGGTTCATGTATTGATACTTTTACTTAAGTTTATGATGTGGAATCTTCTTCTTCTTCTTCTATGATGCTTCTATAATCTATATGTTGCTGATAGCAATATAACAGCAGCCATTCTGCTGCATAATGTGTACTTTTACTTTTGAAACTGAGCAAAGCTACATTTTGCTGATAATATTTTTGTACTTCTGCTTGAGCAAAATTTTAAATGCAGGACTTTTTTGTATCTCTGTGGCTGAAATAGAGAACTTGCTTCTTCTTTTTTTTCTACCATGAAAGCCAGTGCGCATGCTCAGACATGGCAGCTGCCAGAGGGAAGCTGCTCAGATCCGACAGTTAAAGATATTTTGCAAAAAAAAAATTCTGAGTTAACTGAGCTGACAGATGTTGTGTTTGACTGTCACAGCCATGACGGACTAAACAGCCGGCAGCGGGTGAAACTTGTGATCTGATCTGGATGGAACCGACGGGTCTACGAGACGTTTTCAAATGTATAACACTATGTAAGCAAACACGAAAGCCGAAATTATACGTATCCTTTTAAAGAGGTTGTGATAGTTTAGCCTGGAAGAAGAGTTGCTAGGAATTACCTACACATAAAGTTAGTGAAATAACTAAAATGACCACCAATACAACCGTTTCGACGTACCTTGTCGATGATTGTCAGGCCTGCAACGCCCACTACATCTATGTAAGCGACAAAAACATCTGGATTTAGACACATGCCGCTGTTGTGTGCCGTTAAAAAATGGATGAACAGCGGTTTAAGGGTCTGACTGGCCAAACAGGCTGAATGCTAATCACTAAATCTGCGTTTTTAAAAAGCTTGCTGTTTCTTGTGTTTTAGCCATTGCAGCAATGGAGGATATTGGTCTCCTTCCCAAACCCACAAATGACCCCCCTGTTCACAGACCCACAGTCACTGAGACTTTTGGGCTGCACCACATCCCACCAGGTGTGTAAGAGCTCAGACAGGGTCTCTGAGTGTCTGACTGTGATGCTTTTAAAAGAAAAATAACAGCAGTAGTTTGCATTTATTAACATATTGTGTGTGTGTGTGTGTGTGTGTGTGTGTGTGTGTGTGTGTGTGTTTGTCCTATGTGTCATATTGGGCTATATAAATAAAAGTGACTTGACTTGTGCTGTTTTATCCAGACCATCTGCACATCACTGATGCAAGCAGGAAATCTGACATGCAAAAAGATGGACCGTCCAAAAAAAGGTCCCACTCGGTAATGACAGCAGAGCCACAGATTCCCCAGTTTCCTTCACAGAACGCAGGTCCTCTGAGTGCTGGCGCCGGTAAGTAACAGTGTGGTGAAGTTGTGTGTACGCTTGATATAACAATTACACCCGCATTTTGAAAGGGTTTTGTAGTCTACAGACATAAAAAATTATGATTTGATTCAGTCTTGTCAGGTAGCATTTAATTATAATTGTCAGATGTGGAATTTTATTCCTGTTCAAGCCTATTATTGATTTTTTTGCTCGTTTTTTTTCACAATGTTTCCCTGTATGTTTATATTTTTCAGATTTATCTGAGTCTGGATACTTATGGATGCCCATTTTGAATTGACTTAAAACAAACTACACACATTATGATAAACATGTACAAATGTCACAATAACTGGGATATAACTATATGTTTTTAGAGTACCTGGAATATATACCTGTACAATCAAGCTGGTTTCCATTCAAAACCAGCTTGATTTTCATTATGTTAATTACTTAAATTAAGTGTAATTTCAAAACAGGGCCAGCAAATACCACTTTCTTGCAATTATATATTGACATAATAGTTCGCTGGCAATGTCTAGTTTTCTTTGGATGGGATGTGTAGATTCATGTTCATCTCATGTATACAACAAAGTGTTTTTTTAAACTATAAGCAGAAAATAAATCTAAATATCATTAAAGTAAATAAACTAAAATGTTATTTCCAACTGGGCCAATGTACTTCAGATCACTGCTTCCAAAAATTAATCCAGAATTTTGTTTTTGTTTGTTTTTTCAGCACTCTTTAATACAGCTGCCAAAAATGGAAACACTAAATTGGATAAGACAGGTGCTGGCAGAATAAAAGCCAAAGTCACAGATCCATCAAAGTGGAAGCAAAACAAGCAGAAACAGCTGAGGATGGAGGGTAAAGCATACACAAGCAAACGCAAAAAAGACGGCAAGATTGTGACAAAACAGCCAAGAGCAATGGGACCAAGGTGCTCCTCGAACGCATGCCAAAAGGCATCGAACCGGCTCTGTAGTGAAATCAACGAAGAGGCCAGGCAGAAAGTGTTTAATGAATTCTGGTGCGACATGAACTGGACTCAGAGAAAACAGTATGTAGCAGGACAAGTTGACCGCGACCCCGTGGAAAGATCCCGGGCAGCGGGATCACAGTCGAGAAGATCAATTTCACTCCGTTATCACTTGATGGTGGATGGAAAAAGGAAACAGGTGTGTAAAAACATGTTCCTGTCCACTCTGGGGATAGGAGAGTGGTCTGTGCTCAACTGGGCACAGAAAGGAGCAACAAGAAAAAATGAATCAAATGAAAACAACTTAGAAAAGAGGCGAGCTGTCTCTCAGTGCCCACAGCAGAACCCTGCTTCTTCTGCAGTCAGTAATACTGTGGAAGTTACCCAGGGTAAGTTATGTTTTTTTTGTTTGTTTGTTTGTTTTTTGAGTCTTCACCATTTTTCAGCTACTTACTAAACTTAGTTGTAGGGCTGAAACAATTAGTTGACTTATCCATTAGTCATCTGACACCACAAGTAATTATTGACTTAACATTTAAAGGTTCTCACTCCTCAAATGCGAGGATTTTAGGATTTTCTCAATTTCATTGTGAATTTATTGCCTTTAGGTGTATAGCTGCTTAAACAAATAATTTCAAGATGTCACCTTGAACATTTGTTGATATCCTACAGACTACATTGATAATCATTTAATTGGAAAATAACCAGTAGATAGATTGACAATTAAAATAACTGCTAGTTGCAGCCCTGCTTAATGCACTAATATAATATAATAATAATATTAGTTAGTGCCATTATTTTTTTTAGCAAAAGGCCATAATTTTAGCTGTAACACTAACATGTGTCACAGTAATACCTCATACATGTTAATGACATTTCCCTGTTTTTTGCAGAACAAATTAATTCCACGGACAAAGAC